GGCTGTCAGCACAGCATTCATACCATGAAGCATACTCTATAGCACACTCCATGTTATATACATAGTCCCAGACATTACACATATGCAAGCCTCAGCGGGTGAATCTCAAGGTGAGGTGTCACCACTTTGCCCAAGTCCAGCAGTGATGGATATATATAGTACTTGTGGAGAGGATTTATGTAAGCTCTGGTGGTGCAGTGGTATAGAGCACCCCTTCGGAATAGGAGTGTTATCTGAAAGTGGGGTTGGGGGTTCAGGACTGAGTAAGGACACTTTTTTATAATATTTTTTCCAGCACTTTAAATGCATCTGGGGCTTATAAACAGATGGTTTTGAGGTCATATTAAGCATTTCTACGCTAGTCAGAAATTATGGACCCACTCTATCCACTACTATCAACGTCTACTGTAGCACTATTTCCGTCTACTATAGTGCTACTTTGCACGAATTTGCATTAATAGTGCAAAATAGTGCAAGTATTTTTGGGAACCTCTCGATTTTGCCCTATTTTTCACTATTCAACTACTGTGTCTATTAAGAGCTAATTTGTACTGAATAGGTGTAATTCGCAAAGGTGGTTTTTACAGATGCAGGACCGGAGAACCACTACCGTGCTGTTGGACCAGGTATGTTGTCGCTTTGATGACCGTATGGTAACTACCTCACGCTCTATAGAACAAATTAGTGTCCTATTGCCTATCAACACCACCCGGGATGGGGAGCAAGTCATACAGGCATCATTCAAGATTCCGTCAAACCTCCCTCCTCTCGAGTTCCTCCGCCAGGTCCAACGTCTCATGGGTGTTGACCCAGACAAGCCGGTCCGCATCGGCTACCGTGTGGTCCCATCAAACAAGTCGGAACCCTTTGTCCGCTTCGAGACGGAGGAGGATGTGGCTAATGCCATGATGTCCACACTCACCCGGATGAAGCGGGCGGTGTCACGGACAGTACAGCTGGAGCTGTCTAACCTGGTACGTGCTTCTATCTGTACATCACTGCATTCGATCAATACAAGATGTTCTGGTTCTATAGGATTACAAGCCAGGTACAGCAGCCAGCTCAACATCGGCCAACGGTACCAAGAAGAACGAGCCTCCAAAATCTCAGTCCGCCTTTCAAGATGAGCTGCGCATTTGTCGGGAGAAGCTCCATTGTGAACACTGTTCTCTTGCAAATGGTACACCGACTTGGTGTTATATCGACCGCAGGACAGGGGAGCATGTTCGCCTCTATAAGGAGCATGTCTCATTGTGGGCGCGCCTGATGGTATGTTCTACATGGATGAATCTACTCTCTCTACTCACATTTAGCTATAGCACAATGAAGAATGTGATTGCGAGTGTCGGATCCCTCCAAATTGCCTCAAGCTTGATGAGCTTCGAAAGCAGACACGTGATCAATTGCGCCGTCGTGCTCGTAACAAGACTCCAGTTACAGCCCCCCATTCTACATCTCACATCCATGTCCATGTTGGATCCTCCCACTGGTCTCGCCGTTCATCACATCACCGCTCTTCTCGACACCGTTCACACCACTCTCGGTCTGGGTCCTCAGATGCCAGCCCATCTGCAAGCTCAGAGTCATCCTCGTCAAGCAATGAGGATGAGTCAGATGCTGAGGGCGAGTCGCTGTCTATCTCGGAGGTCCTCGCTGCCCTAGACATGAAGCAGCCTGCATCTCACTATCCAAAGTACCAGGATGCACTTACAGCTCAGGGCGTTGTCTATGCCAGAAGTGCCCTTGACTTCTCGGTAAAGTGGTATGTTCAGGAGATCAAGATGCCAGAGGGCCTTGTCAGGCCTTTCCTACGACAGGTGCAGACGATGCTTCGCAAACGCCACCGGCAGAGCCGAGAGAACACAGATCGCCACAAGCGTGTCCGTATTGGTAACGAGAACATTGATCCGGTGTTGTTGGCTTGAGAGTGCTTTGAATTGTAACCATCTTCGACTTTACAATACATTGTGCACTTCATTTTGTTTCACATTGTAATAAGCAATATATTGATTGTCCTTCAACAAATCCCTAATGTGTGTATCCACAATTAGCAAACCAGCCACTGATGTTGACTGGGGTCATTGTAGAATACACAGAACTCCACAGCATTGCAATCGGGTTACAAGTCTCCTCGTCCATAAGTTCTCCAAGTACGAAGTCTCGATTACGTCGGATCCAGGCCTTCATTGACGATAAACCTTCTTCAATGGGATTGTAGTCGGGTGAGTATGGCGGCAGGTAGACTAGCCTTCGACCACTAGTGAGTACATCAGTACGCGCCAGAATATTTAGAAATAAATCAGCTGATGTACCGTTGCTCAACCATCTCACGGATACCTTCAAAATGATGCGTTGATGCATTGTCCATAACTAGGACAGAGTTCGGCAAAGGGAACGGATTCATAATGTCTAGAAGGACATCGAGGTATGTCCGAAACTCCTCAGCGGTCCAGGAACGAGTCAGTATATCAAGGTGAAGAATCCCATCAAGCGAAATGGCCGGGAGGATTGAGTATCTGGGCATGCATCATAGTGGTAAGCTAGATCTGACAGCATTATGATAAGGGACGTACCGAGTGCCGCGTACAAAGAAATCATGCCGGCGAGCGCGATCTCCATTAGGTGCCCAGCCGTAGTTACGCTGTGCTGTGAAGCGATAACATGATGACTCGTCAAGGAATACAAGTGTCTGTGGTGGATAATTTTCCCGGATTAGGGCCCTGAAGGCAAACCGCTGCTCCTCGTCACGCTCTCGTGCAGGCCGGGTGATCTATACCAATGTCATTCAAACGTCACTTGTTTTCAGCACTGATACAACACATACCTTCTTACGGGTGTACCCACGCCTCTTAAGAGCACGAGAGATCGTAGTCTCATCAACTCTCACCTCATATGCGGCCTCAAGCTGCTGCTTGAGCTCCGACAAATACATGTCCGGTTTCCGCTCGATAAGCGACTCAAGATACTATGATTAGTCAGTAGTGGAACAGAGTAGAAGGAAGTATAGGGACATACCGCAATTTCGAGTCCTGTCAGTGCACGAGGCCTCCCAGTAATGTGCGACCGCTGAGAGACCTCACCGGTTGTCCGCCAAAGCCGCAGGACCTTCCGCACTGTAGAGGGGCGGATGCGAGTGATCTCGGCGATATCAGCAGGTTTCAGACGCTCAGCCATGATCACAACCATCCTTTTCTCCTCATCAGATATGTTGCGTCGATTCCCCATAGTTTCTGTTGCAAGCGTTGAGCAGAAGGCAGAGTAAAAGCGCGGTACGACGGTACGTCGTCAAGGGGCCGTGGTCAGGCAAGCGCCCCTACCTACTGTTTCGGGAAGGCGGCCAAACAAGACACGCGCGCACAGAGCGGGCCCGAACGCTCTATGTTTTTGCAGTTAGCTGTAAGATTGACGAAATCCCGCTTAGCATGTCGTCGCAACCAACGACATCTCGCCATTCGTATGTACCCTTGGCAGGATCCAGCCATCGCTTGTCATTGTGATTCATATACGCAATCCGCTTGGAACGGACATGCACTGTGATGCGCGGTGGCCCGGCACTGCAGGTTGTCCATGTTGCAGCTGTGTCGAAAGTAGATATTCGCAAGCCACGCAAGCCCCCTAACTGCATGCCGGTCATACACGCAATGCTGGCATGTGGGAAGTGTGGTATTTGTGCTTGCTTTCCATCAAGATCTCGTCGCAGGTGAGCTTGATGACTCCTCAGACAAGGCTCTGTAGCGGGAAAGCTTACTCAACCCTGCAATTTTGTGCCCACGGGATCCTACATGATTGAATGTGCGTCTCACGTGCAATGGAGCCTGAAGGGCAGGATGTCGCTCGTGACGTGCTTCAGTCGAATCTGCGGGGGTATATATGGAGCCAGAAGGAGCCTCGTTCACCACTCAGTCTCGACGTCTTCAGCAAGTAACAAGATTCCAGCTCCAATGCCTCCTCGAACCACAGAGCTCGACAAGTTTTTCCCGCTCCCATCGGAAGCGCCTTCTAACAAGGCTCCAGTACGCTTGGCTGGTTTCTCCCACAAGTCTGGCGAGGCACTTGCCAAGGCGCTACAGGACGACCATGTCAAATGGCACGCGTTTTTCAACGACTTTGGTTTCCACAAGTAAGTTGCTTGATTGTCGCTGTCTCCCTACTGGTAACTGACTCTCCCCGTCACGTGTAGCCATGCTTCACATCACCTCGTTGCCATTTACGCCCTCGGTGCGAATAGTACGCTCATAGAGGCAGCGTACCAAACGCACGTCGTGTACATGCGACCAGCTTTCGAGTCTCCAGAGCCAGTGAATGCGACGAATTTTTGGAAGCACCTTGGCAAACACGAGTAAGCAGTGACAGTTTCAATGTGTTTTATCATAGACTCATGTCGTGTTACGGTCAGTTTCTATAATTCATACCTGAAGTTCTTCAGGGATCTCCTACTGAAGAAGGATGTCACTGAAGTCCTTGAGGAATACATCTTTTCCGCCAAGGCGAATATCGGCGGCTCTGACACCGAAGGGCAGCCAAGGATGCTCAACCGGTTCTTTGCGGCGGTTATCCATCCGATGATTCACATCGGGAACGGCCTAGAGTTCGGTATTCTGGGCCTTGTCGCGGAGGGTAAGTGGCATGTTGACTGGAGGAATCGCCCTCTGACATGTCCGTGTGTTAGGTCTTGCTCAGACAGCAGTGCATGGGGACGAAGGTAATCGGCTCATCCCGCCTTCACTATTTGAATTGCAGACTACATCGACATCGTCGGCCGTCGCTCGCCTCACTGCTTCGCTGCCGTTGCTCACGCTCAGCACAGAGCCCTCCGCTAACTGGGCGGCTCGAGTCGATGGGAAGAAAGCTAGGATTCATGCCTTCACGGCTCTGGCACGTATCCTAGCCGATCCCAGGTTTGCGCCCGCCGCCTTGGGCCTGCCGAGCCCGCAGGGACAATCGCCCATAGATCTCGTCCAGACGCATGTAGGGGACACTCTGATCAACATCGTTGCTGAGTGGGCCGCCGAACTCGAAGGTGACAATGTGTCCACTGCTGTCATCGAGAAGAAGATCGAAGAGGTCACCTGGCTGAACGCCCTCATCTACGGAGTGGGTGGTTGGGGCGGCCGGCAGAGGTCTCAGAATAAGGAGTTCAATGCGGACTTCTTCAGGTGTGTTCTTACGTTCCTGAACCAAGGCACCGGCGGCTGAAAACCTCTCGCTCACCCCCGTAGCATGCATTTAGTTACCTCGAGCATCTTCCTTCCATCGCTCGTCGCCTACCTCTCGCCCCGATCTGCCGCGATCCTGCTTCGAGGGTACTTTACCATCTCTCTTGTGTGGTACATTGTCCGTGGCCGTCCCGTTATCCCCGTGCGCGAGTTCTATGAGGGAACAACGGATAAGCCTGTCCAACCCGGAGAGCCGCAGGTTGTTCCGGCAGATACAACGCTCACTCCCGAGGATGTATCGCCTAATCCGTGGCTTCCCATCATCCAAACCACTTTGGTCCATCCTGCAGAGCATCTGTGCAAACTCCAACGCTCCCTGCTGCACAACGCGACCTTGTACGGAGCGCGAGCCGCAGGCGACTTTGCTGGGACGGAGTTGGAGGGCTCAGAACTTCTTGATGGGAGTCTCTTCATTCGTGCCGCTGGATTGACGGCAAATGTAATTGGATGGTTGAAGGAGGGGCAGAAGGCTGGGGATTGGGATCGCTCTGGCTTCTACTGAGTCTGTTCCTGGCGTCGGTTTGTCGGTCATCATCTCGGCAATGTATGCGTAGCACTCTGTATCTCATCTTACTGTTCTCAAGTATGATCAGCCTTCGAGTAGTTAGTAAGAGGAGACAATACTACTGTACCGGTCCTCGATTTCGGCACAGCCTTCTACCGATCCCCATCCTCCCACTGCGCGAGTGATCACAGATCCGTCTTGGAACTTGTCTTTCTTCCATGCGCGATATAAGGCGGCTAGGATTGCTTATGCACATTCACTGCACTCCGAAGAGCAACTCAACGAGGAAGTGATGTTGGTTCAGTGGTGTAGTTGGTTATCACGTCTGTCTCACATATGCGTGCACAGGAGGTCTCCAGTTCGAGCCTGGACTGAACCACAACGTTGATATACATTGCGCTTTTTGTTTGCCCTTTTGTCGTCATGCGTACTTCAATAGTGTGCAGTGTCGAGCGTGGTGGCATAAGACCAGTCAAGCCCTGTCCGACACCTGCTGCTTCTTAAATGTTGCTCCAGTGCAGGGAAATTAGGAGTTCAAAGCACACAACATCCGAATTGGCTAGGATAAGTGTCTTGATGAAAACGGTGGTTCCTGCCTTCCCTCATGTATCCCTTCTAAGTAATTGAAGTAGCGGGTGGGACGGGGGTGAACTGGCCCGAGACCAGTATGTGACGGTCTATGGCATCGCTACATAAAGTTAGCGCCCAAGTATGGCTTGATGCCGAAGCGATGCGTGGCCGCCTCTCAGGCTCTCCTACGCCGCTTACTCGAACTGTGCGACTATCAAAACCAAGATGAACGCCAACTTACGATAGAATGCAGGGGATAGCCTCCTTTGCACACGAGCTCTAATCAACACCACGAGACAGTTCCTTATCGTCCATCTCAGGTTGTACTGTTCGTCACAAATCGCCATCTTCAGGAACGAGCGCGATCATCACTCCTTACAGCGGCATACGTCTGACCTCACGCGCCTTGTGTTTGGTATGTCTCCCCTCTCGCCGCCATACGCGAGTAGATCAGTTGGATAGTATGAAAGCGATCAACCGTGGCTGACGAAGAGGCAAGCTCGCAGGACTCCATTCACAGACGATTTCTAACAAGATAGTCGACATCCAACAGCCTATCTACGCAATATGCCTTCCTCTTTAGATAATGTGAATTGACTCGTCCCCCCTCCCCCTTCCCTTTGCACCTACTCTTCTCTAGGCCTGAAGACACTTTCGGGGGCCCCGCACTAATCCAAGCTTGCCGTCCACAAGTCGCTCAAGGACAATCACGCTAAACGACATGCGTACCTCAACGAAATGGATTTGACAAGTACGAAGCATTTTGATAACATGCGATCATCTCTAACTCGCCGTCACTTTGGCCATGCCTCTTATCACCTGCTGGCGTCGAATTCGCTAAGTGCAAGTCCCGCTCTCATCGATCTCACATATGCGAGACATGTCACTACCATGAGGCCTGCTATAACTATGATCGATGATATTTCGTCAAACAACTACTACGACCATCTCAGTGACAGATGCGTCCGAGGGCCACTTGGCAAACTAAGATCGCCTCCCAGTGCAGGCTTCACGACTCATCCTGCGAATTTTTCACAGCGGAAATACCCAACAAAGGTGCGCCTGCTGTTAGTGAGGAGGACTCCTTCATTCCAGATGCTAATCTAGTACCTGCCAGTCCCAAGTATACTTCCCATACGCCAAATGTCTGCTCGCCGGCCTCGTTACACATCCATTCATGTAGGTTAGGGCCTGTATTTCGGCCTTTCTGGGCTCCCAGAAGAAGGTCAGGATCAAACCCTGGACCCACTGCGCCTCTGCTAATGTCCTCACCATCATATCTTCTAGGTCTTGTGGCACGAGCGGCTACTCACCTCGTGATGGGGTGGGCATTATGCCTTTTCAACTTTCAATGTCATTTCCTCAGCTATCGAAGCAGCTGCCCCTATCTCCCCCTCGACGGTCCATGATCTTCTGTGGGAGCGACTTCTTAATGCAAGGTCAGAGAGCGCTATCGGCGGACATGCATCGGATATCCACGGGAGCAGAGCGAGCGAGAAGTACGGCGCTGTGCGTGAGGGTCTCCATATAGCCGTTCATGGCTTACAGCAAGACGACTGAGTCCAGTGACGTCCTTGTCAGACTCCAATGCATGATATGCGGATGGAAAGGATGTTTCGCAAAGATCGCCGGGTTGTCGTGGTCCAAAGGGGTCATTGGTAGCGGCGGCGGCGGCGTGCCACTCCACCCAACCCCGGCGGCGACTCAATGCAGACTACCTTCCGTGAGTAATTACCACCTCCCAAGATGCGCTGGCCATCGTCGCAGAGTTTCCGTCCATGCTCACACACGCCCTTCGCCCAGCATGCCTCCCCTCCAGGGCCCCATTCATGTCCCCCTCCCTATCTCTCCTCTATACTGCCCTCTTCCCCTCTACACTCGCGCCCTACATCTGCCGGGCCGCCCTGTGCTCCCACTCTCCAACGTCGATATCTCCGTCACCGCGATGTCATTGCTTCGAGCGGGCCCGAAGCCATGGCTCTCGATCATCTATACTTGTCGGCGCTTTGCCAGGCCGCGACCCGTGGGGGCACCTTTGTGGGCACCACAAGGGCTAGTCTCACGGGTGCGGAGGTGCTCGACGGAACGCCTTTTGTGCGCGTTTCAGCCCCGACTCTATATCGCGTTGGCTGCACGCGCGAGGGTCAGGAGGACACTGGCTGAGAAACTTCTCTTCAAACCCAAAGGACGGGTACGTAGAGTCTGACGGTGTCGGCGGCAGTACCTGGTTCTGCGGACGCTCAACCTGCCGTGGGGGGCTCCTGAAGGCGGCATGTGGTAGCGGAGCGCTTCGCGGAAGACGTACGGCCATAGAACGCGGGGTTGCAGACTGCTGCATGGCGTTGGTAGAAGCAGGTATCGCGTCTGTGGTCATAAATATCACACACACCGCTCTTAGACCTCCTCTACGAAGCTTCTGCGCTGTCTGCGGTTTATCGTACTTCAGAATCATTGACATTGGAGGAGCGGACGGCCCACCGGGCCTTGATCATACGGTCTGTGTGTTTCTGATGTTCCACACGGGCACGCGGGTGCGCTCCGGGATGGGCATTAGAGCGGTAGATCGATTCTGCGTACGGATCGGCGCTTCCAGATGACTTCCGGCCGATCGTGTTTCGAGCAACATTCCAAGCTTTCTCATGTCAACCCAAACTGTAATCCTCAGCATGGCTGGTGCGTCTTAGCATCTGGACATATCCGCCCTGGCTTGTCGGGAACCTACGGGGAACCTAGGAAGTCCTTCCAAGACCGTACTAGACCAAGATCTGTGGTGGACAACAAACGGAACATTCCCGATCTCCGCTCTTGGTACTCGCGAGATCGTTTGCGTTATGCGGGGGCACCTTCTAACTGCTATTGAAGAAGTATTTAGGACAATGGTCCGACTTGACGTATGCCAGGGAGGCATGCTCGGATGCATCGCACCATGGCTCTTGCGAGATACAGACACCTCAATTGCCACATCAGCGCCTCGCGGGAGGGCGAATCCTCTGGCGAAGATACCTCATTCAGGTGAGGGGTATGTATCGGATTAGGTACAATCTATGAATGCTTGTCTGGCTGGCGGATGCCTGCCGCGTTGTTCCAGGCTTCTAGTCAACTTTACCTCTGACATGATGAATGCTTTCGGATGTTCGGCAAACGGCATGTGAAGTCAGTGGAGAGGGGGATTCCCGCTCCATATTGCGCAGGCCTGGTGTGAGCGGACGGGGAACGGGTGCCCCCAGGATACGAGCAGGATAGACCAGCTCGGACTTTTCTGATACGATTAGAGAGTAAGTTTGAAGCCAAGATCCTAGTGCTTCGTGGAGAAACATTCAATGGACCCTGCGGGGGTTAAAACGGTGCGGTTGTTTTGCTGCGAGCCGGGCTGATGGCAGAGGTTCCACTGAATTTAAACCATGCTGGATTATATCTGCAGCCTCACAAGGTGGTCGCGTGCCAGCCACGTATGTGCCCCATACCACCGTTTTGGTTAGGGCGTTCAATTTCGGCCGTACCCCTGCGAAGTCAGGAACAGTGGGTGGTCGAGCGCTTTGTCTTGAACGAACTCACAAGCTGGAGGATCTCCCCGGTGAAAGGGCCGAAATAACTCGATCCAATGGTTGCGACGTCTCGAAGGGAGAAAGATAGCGGCCTTTTGGGAATGCAGTGACGATCCTAGAGTAAGAAAACTCTAAGGTGATGGGTGTCTTGCTCCCAAATGAACTCGCGTACGGAGCGAGCATCGCGTTCTGACGGTGCTTGAGGAGGTGACATGGCTAAGTCTTGCTCAACGAGCATGATACTCAATCGTCTGCCCAGAACCCTCAGGTAGCGATCAGCCATCGGTCTTCGTGATGTGGAATGAGGAAAACCTCGCTCCAAGTCGAATGCGAACAATGTTCTTATGAAGATGTGGGGTACGAATTTCATGATCAGCGTGAGGAGGCATTATTCGCAAGAACTATGGTGGACCTTTTCGAGGGCAGCAACAGATACGTAATATTGGTCCTGCCGCGCAGATCGGGGCGCACATTCTCGGGCTGCTCCAGCCGCGTTGCGATCAGGAAGCACATAGTGTGAGCGAAGGTCTCACAGTGAGCGCTGCGTAAGCCTGCTATATGGTCATCTGGTACCAAAGACATGAACGTGTCGCGAATTCCTTTGCATTGGCGCGCACCGTCGTGAGAGACAAGATAACAGGAGAAACACCAACGCCTTGGGTTGTGTCGGCAACTCCTAACTCCTATGCACACCCAAAAGAGCAGGTAAGCTCATTAGGCAGTTAGGCGCAGGCTGGGAAGCGAAAGCTGGTCACTCAGCAACCCTGCTATGGGTTGGCCCCGGCGGGGGCAGAAGATAGTGATTCACGTTGGAAGTGCGTAGCATCCAGTTTGACTTCTGACACCCTACAGACCGTCGAGACTCGGGCGAAGCTTGCGGAGGGTGTCTCAATTCCATCCGGAGCAATCGCGCTTCTGCGAGGGCTTCATCCAGCTTTCTGAGTCGCAGCTTGCGCAGTCCGGACCACGTCAGCCCCCGCCTAGCGCGCCCCAGAGCCTGATTGGACTACTTCGAACATTGCGGATATCTGGCGATGTGTATCACGGATGAAGCGAGATGATCAGGGAAGGACACTGGTCGGGTATACCCGCCACGGGTACAGGTATATACCCGTCCGCGTACGGGCAGCCGAGGGCAATTACGTCCAAATCATGCAGCATGATTCCTCCAGGGCGTGAATCGGGGCAGTATACGAAAGAGAAAGGAAGCGTTGGAGAGTGATAGGAAGGGTGGACGACTAGTGTAACGTGAGACTAGTCGGACTCACATTCAGAGGTACGAACAGAGACATAGTAGACAGAACGATATGCGCTGGGATTTCGTCTCATGAATGGCACATGCCGCACCACGACCGTGCGCTAGGCATGCTGGGCGAGGTCAGCTCCGAGTCTACAGATCTCCGACATGTCAGTATGTCTTGCCCGTCCCCAAGTAACTCGAGTACATACCGGTTCGGGTTCCGGTACGGGTATGACCAAACCTGCTACGGTCAGACTCATATAGGAGGACCATTCCTGAAGATGCAATGACGGCGGAGATCCGGGAAACGTTGTGGCCGCGATACGGACATCAGCCTGTGACAAAATCACGGTCACAGTAACGGCACACCGCCGGCTATCAGCCACGTGTTGAGTCCACGGCAAGTTGTTCACAACCACTCGACGTACATAAGCGATAAATGGTTTCTACACGGATCCTATTCCACAGTGTTGCCAGCATGCTCAAGGGTTGGCGGGCCTGGGCGATCTAGCCCAGGACCGCCCGACCGAGATGTGATGGAGGTATTTCCGTAGCTACCTTCCTCTTCGATAGAGCGTGACTACGTCGTCCTCCCACGCCTGCCCAATCTCGTGGCATGCAAAGTGCGGAGACGTTCCGGTCCTGTTTTTGAGTCTGCACCCTACGGGCGGCATCCCATGCTGTCCATCAAGCGGATGCTCGGAAGGCTCTTCGGGAAGGGCTCTCCACTCTGATCCCAAATTCCTGGCCTTTCTCGGGGACCTGGCATCTTTGGTCACGATCTCATGCTCTGTATGGCAGTCTGACTACCTTTGGAGCCCTGCAGTCTCACAGCGATCCGGGACTTCTGGTCAGACGAAGGACGGTCCCTTTCGCTCGGTAGCGGTGAGCATCTCTTCCTTCTTCAATCTCAACATCGCCTTCCACTGGATTGATCATGTCTGAATAGGACCCGAGTGCACTCAGTATGGCTATCGAGATCGCCTTGCGCATGCTGCATGAGATTCTATCCCTCGTTTGGTCTGCTGAAGATCGTGACATGTCGTATGCAAGGTGCAGCACGGAAGTTCGAGATAGCTTAACGTATCATACGTTGCTTTCATCTGATGAACAGCCGTCACGGCGCGGTGGAACCGTTTCGTCATCGCAGCTAGCAGGCCTTGCGGATACACGGATATCGGTGCACGCACGAGCTGGATTTCTGATTCTTGCCGGTCCCCGAGAACCCGCTTCATCTAGGAGGGACCCGAGACAGATTCATCGGACGTTGTTCAAGATGCCGCCTGGGCCCAAGCGAAGACTTCCCGTAGTATAAATTCCCTCGCAGAACCAATGTCCCTACCTAAGCTCCTCCACAAGCTCCCCACTCCATCGCCCTCGCACAATCTCCACGATGCCTTCTCACCGATCAGTCTCTTCTAAAGAAAGCCTCTCCTCCGCGTCTTCTGGGTCGTCGACCTTGCATCTCACCAAAAGCTCCCAGTACTCTCTGTATACCACGTTTGGTACGTCCTTCCTAGACGTCGCGGCTGATCGTCATTGACTTGATCCGCTGTTCACAGCGCGGTCCTCCATATTGTCTTTGTTATCATCCGCCATTGTTTCGGGTTACCTCGTAGTGGAAGACTACGACGAGACGTTTCGCTTCGGGAACCCCAAGACCACAACCAATTGCGTGCATCTCAGGGTTACCAGCGGCAGGTTCTGGACACGTGTGTTCAAGTAAGCCTACACCGTTCCTGTACGCCAGGCGAAAACTAAGACGGAACACAGCTCCGGTGATCTTGGATGTCAGCTCATCTCCTATTCTTCAGCTCACACGATCTAATTGCCGTGCATTCAGTCAGCGAAGCTTACATGATTGGCGAGGTCGAGGTTGAGAACCTGAAGGCGATCATGGACGTGAGTACTTGGAGCGAGGAGACTTCCGAGCACCTTCTCATGCAGACCTTCAGCTTTGGCTTGATAACCAATCAACGATGTCGGCCTTACACTCCCTTTTCAGTCGGCTCACCGCCGCGTTCTCGGGGATCCGGAATGCCTTCTTCGGGCAGACACATTCCCGCGCCCGTCTCAACGTAATCGCGAGTTATGACCAGTCAAACGAACTCTTCAAGGTACGCATCGCCTTCTATCGGCTCGGATGGTGCCTGACGCAAGAAACGCGTAGGCGTTCTTAAGTAAAGAAATGATGTACTCGACTGCACTGTGGTGTGACGAAGAAGGTGGCGTACGCGGAGATTTGACTCACGGACCGACCCCGAACGACCTGGAAACCGCTCAGCGACGTAAAATTCACCACGTGCTGAAGACTGTTCGCGTGAAGCCGGGAGATAGACTGCTTGAGTTCGGCACCGGTTGGGGCGCATTGGCAATCGAAGTGAGTACCCTGACGACCGTCGTGGCCCCTTCCGTTCATTTTCTCACGTCGGAGCACTACAGGCTGCAGCATCTTATGGCTGCGAAGTCGACACGCTTACGCTATCGGTAGAACAGAAGCAGCTTGCAGAGGAACGCGTGAAGGAGAGGGGCCTGGAAGGCCGGGTTCGAGTGCATCTGATGGACTACCGGGACATCCCTCCGGAGTTCAAACATGCGTTTGATGCCTTTGTCAGCGTCGAGATGCTCGAGCACGTAGGCAGCAAGGTGAGTTCGGTTGTTTTTGCTCCACTCCTTCTATGAACCCATCGAAACGTTCCACAGTATTACAGAAAATATTTCGAGCTGGTGGATTTCGCACTCAAACCGACGGCCGCAACTATAGTTGTCACCTGCTCCACATTCCCGGAAGGCCGTTACAGCAACTATCAGTGAGCCCCCTGCCTGGTTCTGTACCAGTGTATTGTGTCGTCACTGACATGCATCCGAAATAGAGCTGATGACTTCATGCGTCGTTATATGTGGCCGAACTCGTGCTTGCCCAGCGCAACGGTTCTGATCGACGCAGCGTACGCAGCTTCGAAGGGTCGTTTCACTCTAGAAGGTGTCGAGAATCACGCACCTCGTACGTCTTACTGCTCGCTTGGCATGTCGGACCCTGACATTCCATAATGGCTCCGCTAACAGATTACCCACGCACTCTGCGAACATGGGATCGCCGTCTCAAAGCGAACCTCAATCGTGAGGCGATGGTCCGGCAATACCCCGCTCTCCTTGACGATGCGACATACATGGCGTTCATACGCAAATGGGAATACCTCTTTGCATATGCTGGCGCTGGATTCGCGAAAGGTTACATCACCTGCCATATGCTAACGTTTGTGAGAGCAGTAAGTTTCCAGCACATTCATTGTATGGCGAGTGACTAATGGTGCTGTAGAGCGATGTGACCACTGCGTGTGATTAGGGTCGTGCCGGAAAGTGTTCGAGCAAGCAAATGAACCTCTCTCGGCCCCCGCACCGTGTGAACCCGACGGCACGATATCGGCAATGTCTTTTTATTACGAGCGGGCTCGATACAATATACTAGTACTTCCGCTCCTCGTGCTCTATCATCGCTATTCGCAGAGACACATTGTACGATATTGCATTTCAACGCAATTACATCCTCAATACCATTCCGTAGTTATCTATCCGCTCGTTCGACCCTGTGATCTCAAGTCTTTCTGCCCTGGCCCTGAGCGGGAGTACCTCAGACCGCCCTTGAGCGTAGTCGTTCGAAATCTCGATATCGTCTTGGGCGGAATACACCGCGATTCCGTCGAGGAACGTACACCTCCCGCGAAAGTTTTGACACAACTTCCAGCGAAGTCTTCGGGTAAAAGGGATTGGGGCTCATTGCTGCGGGTAACAGCGTGGATAGACGGAGATGGTGAGAACTGTTCGGAAGGACAACACAATGTATGGACGGTCATAATGATCGGCACACCGTCGCGCCATATCCTGGCGCTTCGTAGTCAGGGACGCATCGGCTTCGCATACACCATCGGGGGTGGGAACTCTCCACTATCTGAGAGAAAGTCAAAACGAAACGTGGCCCGAAGTCAACCGAGGCAATTCCCGGTATTGCTTCCGAGTGAGAGAAGCACGCGAAGCCAGACTTCTGAAGTCTACACCCACCTAGTAGCAGCCAGGCCCTTCCAATCGTGGCTGCCGGGCCTCAAGTATGAGCATGCACCCCTTCGGAACAGTAGTGCAGGAAGCATCTTCCACAATGACCTTACAGGACACATGATGGTACCGGCAAACGTCCGGCCGTCGATCTGCCAGTGCGAATGCCATCGCCGAGTGAGTACAGCACCCACCGATACCACATGCCTTGCCTCGAGACATTAGTCCAGTCACCGTCAATCCAGCCATGCAAAGCAAAGCCGTTCAAAGAGCAAGCATAGTGGTGAACATTCCCAGTCACCTGGACGGACGTCTTGTGCTCCGGTTCTCCCGGTTGTTGTTTGACGGCTCGAGGCGAGTATCGTATGGCACCAGACATCAAAACGCTTCTCACCACTCTTCCGTAAGGCGCTTCGCTTGACGTATTCCACCCATCTCGATCCTGACTATGTTACAAGGGCCTCTTTGCCACTGCAGTTGCATGTGAACTGGGGTCGGACAGCCGTCGGAATGCCTCAGAATCGCTAGTCACCTGTAGCTGACATCGTAGAGGACTGTTGTCACTGCCCATAGCGTATCACTCACTGGACATGGATCGATAATCGGAAGTCTTGAGGTGTCCGACACGTCATTGACAAACTCTACCACAGTTCATTCCGCTAGAGCAATAGACTAAGGCTGGACGTATATCGAAGCCGTAAGCTTCATTTTACGTGAGAGCCCGAAGGAGTCTAACGGACTGCGCAGGTCCCAATTAGGCGGGCTTGGCTAGTTACTGCAACCAATATACTCCTTTTCCGCCCAAAAGCCACTGAAATGTCCGGCGACTTGCAGGTAACGCCGCCGGGTTGAAAGGCTTACCTTCTCGTTCGCCAATCATGACAGTGCGCAGTTTTGATTGGGAAGCTGACCAGCTCTGTTCACAGAACCTCAATGCAGGCGCATCGACGAAGGTTGGCAAGGCGGTCGTAGAATGAGGAAGGGAGGAAACGTGCTAAGTCTGATGGAAGTTCTCGTCCAGAGTGCATAGAGGCGTACTTGAAGTCTGGAACTTGAGAAGCACCTCCAGGGATCCGAAATAAGACCTCATGGCTCACCTTGAAACAGGAGGCAAAATACCGTGATGTTCAGCGAGCTTGCCACAGAAGTGCTCCCACAGATCCCCCTCATCCTCGCATAGGCTTCCGCATGCCGCACCCGACCTATCAGTCACGCAGCGGCTCCGGTGCGACTCGCGAAGTGCAGGGGCAAAAGGGGTACCTGCGGTGTGCCAAGCATCGGGCATCAAATGTGAGCGCCGGCGTGAGCTGCTAGCGAATGTTTGTTGCATGGGTATCTGGATGGATAATCTGTCGCCGCATCGTGTGTGCATCGCGCTGCGCCTCGCTAGGCGAACAGCGCTCAGAGCCGAGAAGAGTCGTCTGTTTCCCTTGGTTGCGAGTGTCCGGTGCCTGGCAGCAGACTACGATGTCATAAGGGTCTCCTCGTCGTGGGTATGGATCATCCGCCGGAAGAGACCGTGAAAATTTGTCGGATTACTTGAGCAACCGTGACACGGGGTCCCATTAGATGAACGCACACGAACGTGCACATGACGAAGATGTACGGACGTACGAAACCGATAACATGTTTCCGATTGTACGCAATATGCATTGCTCTTAAGGAAGCTTCCCGACAGGCCGTCTGAACGAGCCACGTGAACCGCGACGCATCCATGTCAGTGGTGATGTCCCTGACGCTCTCGCGCCTCGCGATTTCGCCACTTGCAATCCCTAGTGGAGAAGTTCGCCTATCCGGCAGGAACGTCGGCATGTCATATTAGCGTGAATGCGAGAGGTTAACGGCGCCCGGATGTAATATCATGCAAGGTTCGATTCTGGAACCCCTCACCGCATGTGAGATGACTGGATGTTTTCAGCTTGCACGGAAGTACGAGCGTACCACACGCAGCAACAGTCACAGTAGCGCTTTAGAATGGCTCTGCGGGTTTGAAGAGTGAATGCCGTACACGTTGGAGCCACATCAAACCTACAATGGATCGATGAGCTACATTTCCCAGTTGCGCCTCTTAACACATACCGTATCCTACACGTCACCAGCACACCTTTCACGAACATGCGATGTCTGGACAATGTTCTACGACTGCGCCCGATATTCGTGCTTCCCTCTGATTCCCTTCTATGACCTCTGGCCCCGCGATGCATGATCCCGCACCCCGTCGACCATGTTCTAGGGCCACCTCAGACCGCCCGCCGCGACGGCAGAAAGGCAATCATCCGCAGCACGACCACTTTCCGTCGCGCTCGAACCATACTTTGCCTTTCGGCAGGATGATGGTCCGAAGGGTTGGGCACGCCTTGCTCCATATCCGTGCAATCTCTCCCTCGTCCTCAATGGAGGCGGAGCCGGCTGCCATAAAGGTTAGATAGCGTAGGTCGGAGAAATTGGATAGGCATGGGCCGGATTCTTGCAGTGTTTTCTGTGAATTAAGCCGAAGACATAGCGTCAGTATCTATTCCAGACTTGGCGCATCATTTGGGCCACAGGGTCATGCAACCTGAGGAACAGGCTCGATAATCGGCTAACGAGAGACGATCCACCTGAAGATGTTTATCTTCAAGTTGCGTACAGGAATACCCTTGACGTAGCTAGGAATGCCTCTGAGAAGAACCCAGCGATCCGCCCTATGACGGAACATGGACGTATAGATAAGTCCGCTCATGTGGTCGCAGACACAAGCCTCTACGCACGGTGGGCCGACTACACATGATTATGCGGTCACAAGGATTTCGCGACTTGATAATTCACTATCATGAGAATTGCTCTATGACGAGCAAAAGCTGGCGTGGACTTAAGCCAGCTCGAATGCCCCGTGATTCAATTCAGGAATAATAGGCGCCCATACGTTCATCTCCGCCACCTTCGTGAAAAATGGGGACGAATAGGCAGCAAATGCATATGAAAGAAGCAGAAGCCAGAAGATATCAGAATGGCGACGTACAGTGTCAAAGAGTGCCATCAGCACTACCACATGCAAGGCCTCCAGTTGGGGAAGACGCCTAGCAATCTCCGGCAGCAGCACGTTCGGCGCGAGTGTTTGGTCGAGCGACATGATCGTCAGCCGCTTGATGGGGGAAGTGGAGAGCAGAAGCGAGTCCAGAGGAAGGCAGCCGTCCTCCATGAACATCGACAACGAGACACCCTCCACGGGCCGGCCTCTCACCACCGCGGCGATGACTGACGGACCCGCGTGCACGGCGCGAAACGAGCGCAGTTGCGGCATCGCCTTGTCGGACAGGATGAAGGCCTGTTTCGTCTGGAAGCCGCGCAGACAGAGCTCAGCGAGGGCGGTCTGCGTCTCGAGGACCTCCGCTAGCTGCGCATCGCATCGAATCGATGTGCCGAGCGTCCTGAGTGGCGCACGCAAACCATCGAGGACCCATGCTAGACCATAGTGGTTATCGTGTGGCGAGAGCTCGATGCTGAGATGTCGCAGAGAGGGAAGGTGTGAAAGGGTGTCCCGGAGAAGGCGAAATAGATTGGAGACGACTCTGTGCTGCGCCCAGTCGATACAAAGCTTCCGGACCAGCACTGCATAGGTGGGAGATTGGCAGAGGACCTTGAGACATGGTATGCAACGATTGATGGGCATTTCCGGGATGATGCGATAGAGGATACGACTTCCGATCATGTGGAATTCATGGTTCGTTCGAAGGACGGATGGAAGGTGACGTGCTTCCAGCTCTTGCAAGATACAATCCAGTATCTCGACGGGAAAAGAGAGTAGTCGGAAGTAGGAGTGGCTCATGCTATTAAGCTGGAAGTGTCAGACTATGAGGGAGCAAGCAGCGAAAACCCCGCGTAATGAAACGGCCTATGAGGACAAGAAGGGAGGCGGAGCGAGCAATGGGCTTATCGTCGAGCCCGTCGTCGTCGTGGTCGGCGGTCAAGCGATCACAGTGTCACAGGCGGCCACTTTGGCTAGATTTGGTAGTCACGTAGGAATCATTTGGACCTTTTGCCAAAGACCATCAGCGCATTAGGACCCCGGGCTGCCTACAGCCTCGTCGTAACAGAACTCACTCCTCTCCTCCCAATACGCATCCACTCTTCCAAGAAAGATGGAGTAAAGCCAGGTACTGCAAGGGCGCTGAAACCTAGCGTCCTTGGAAATTCGCCTGCCAGTAACCGGGCCGCATCGGACTTGGCACATGGACAGTGTAGCTCAACATGTCCCGCAACTCAAATCTTAGTTTTGCGGTGCCATGAGGCACTGGTCTCATTCCTCTGCTATGGCCGGTATTCTAGATCTATTGAAGACGGCCTAGCTCAGGGTGTGTCGGTATCGTTAGAGACTTTGGAGACCCTGCTGACCTCTTGCTCGACGCTTACAGGTCCACTTATGGTCTGGCAGATCCTCCGGCATAATCCCACCCCTTACAAATCGATATGTGATGCTATGAAGCTTGGTTAGCTTCCGTGAAGTTGTATTTAGCGTATGAGAATCACTGAAAGAACCTTCTAAATGGTGCGGGACAATTGTGAGAACCGATCGAATCGACGCATCCCATCCCAAGATATCGGGGCCGCAGTACCTCGTGTCTCTTCAATTCAATGCTGCTCCTACTTCCAAAGCAGCGAGCGTCATGGAGGGAGCAAAGCGCCCGCCTCATAGGTCAAACAAACCATCCTCTGTTCTGGCTCCCGCCCCTAACATCTGCACCTTAATCCTTTGATAACAAGCTCCCTGGTTTCGCATCGCGGTTGGTGTTGAGGATATCCAAAGGGACCAAACCAAACAATTTTTTCTGCACGAGGCCACTGCCTCGGCAAGACACAAATAAGATTGACCCAGAGCACAATGTGGGGCAATGTCACAGCGTGATATTGCACGTGCCCTGCGCCAAAGGGTGACAACCCCGCCGGCGCTCAGCGCTCAGCAACGATATGGCATGGAATTGGCAGGGAGGTCGATGCGTATTTCTGTATAGGCTCGGTCCCCTCCCCGCAAACGAAAAATAGAACACCGTAACTTCGTAGCAAGGGCACCCCAAAACAAATCACCATCGCCGTTTTGTCAATGGGGCTCCCCTCGTGGAATAGGGTGCGGTCAACAATGAAAATGGTTCATAACGAACCGTTATTAACGGACGCCCTCTTGGACCTCTTGTTAACACGTGTTATTTACGGTCAATCAACCGGGCGCTGAACCAAGTTCACAAGTTGTTGTCCTGAGTAATAAACATCTCAGTTGAACGACAGAGTCCCTAGAACTCAGAGACACCTTGCCATTGCAAGTACTGTATATTTGACGAGGCATGACATCAATGAGCTGTGTGGCGACGAGTCCCGCTCTCCCTTCGAGATCTGAATCAGACCAAGCTCACTGGCGGCTTTGGCCAGCGGCCTGCATAAATTAGAGGCACCAAACTTGCAGTTCACAGCAGCACTACTCCGGCCTACAGTAAACGAAATGAAAGCGGTCTATTGTTGTTAATAGAGTCAAAAGAACGCTCAAATGGGTCCTAGTTTTGAACAATTCTTGACATGACTATCCAGACTCGTACTTTCTAACTGTTTATTAACAGGTTATTAACTTGTTAATAATCCACGTGTTAACACTTCGGATTTGTTGCCCGCACCCTATGCAGATTTCGCACTTTTCCCGGCCAAAGCGTGACAGGAATGGCACGTGATGCCCCACATTGTGCTCTGGGCCAATCTTACAACTGATGGCTAGTCAGCCACATCCGTTGCGCATTAGCGCATCACATGAGGTAAATGCTGACAGTACCTGTAGCCCAAAGACATCAAGACATTAGTAAGAGTAAGAAGTCGACGCGTGGTTCAAGTGATGGGATGAGCAAGCCGGTACAGAAGGCAAGTAAGCAGGACGAACGGAACAGTAACAGAAGCGAGAGGGATTCGGAACGAGCGCCGCGCGCCCAGTATAGCCTGGCTCACAAGAATGTCTCCCGTTTGGTTTTGCACATCGCTGAAATCCCCAGTACTCGGATCCTCTCTGCAAGGCGGCTAACCTTGCTTCCATCTACTATGAGCGGAGTGAACATCCCAAGTAGCGTCCTAAACACAGCGATGTCAGACCCCATCGTTCTATACGACATACCGCTGAACGCAAACGGGACCGCATGGTCACCACATACCTGGCGCACCCGGTAGGCCCACATCACCCCAGATCCCGAACTCCCTCTCCCCATCACCAGCACGCTCAAACAACTCCGCAACAGGTACACCCTCAACTACAAGAACCTCGCCTACCGCACCGTCTGGGTGCCGTACACCTCGATCGAGCCCACCAGCAAGCGCCTCGCCGCCCGCCCGACCTCCCTCTGGCCCGACGACGCCCCGCGCTACACCCTCCCCGCGATCTTCGACCCATCCACGAATACGCCAATAGCAGACTCCATCGCGATCGCGCGGTACCTCGACGCCCAGTACCCGCACACCCCGCGCGTCATTCCGGAGGGCACGGAGGGCTTCCACGAGGCGTTCCTCGTTGCGCTCGACGCGGTGACGTCCCCCGCGCTGCGGAACCTCGCGATGCCCGCGTCGTTGGTGCGCATAGACGACGAGGCGGCGAAGGCCAAGTACAAGCGAGATAGGGAGTGGCAGGTAGGGGGGGCGATGGAGGAGTGGGCCCCGGAGGGTAGTGAGAAGCGCGTGGGGTTGTGGAGGGAGCTTGAGGCAGGGCTTGCGAAGGTCGCGAAGTGGTATGAAGCTGGCGAGGACAAGGACAGGAAGTTCTTGATGGGCGACGATCCCGTCATGGCAGACTTCGTTGTCGCGGGGAGGCTGATGTGGCTGAAGGTCGTGCTAGGGGAAGAGCATGAAGAATGGAAGGCAGTGGAGACATGGCACGAGGGACGTTGGGCGAAACTGTTGAAAGACCTGGAGGTGTACGCCGAGGTGAAGGTCTAAGAGCAGACGAAATTCGACACGTACTTTGCGAACCCTCTGTACATTTTTAGTAAGAGCATGCCCGGTGTAACGAACTTGCGCGAGCTTCCTCTTCGATCGACTCATGTTCGAGCGACACGCTTGCCGTGGTAGTGCGAGAAGGAAGGAAAGCCGTGCATTATACGAATGTATCTAAATCGTCAGCGGGGTCGAACATACGTAGTTTCTAATATCGTCGTTAATGCTTCCATCCAAAGCCCGTCCATAATCCCACTCAGACCTCGGAACTTCATCACTCCGACTTGGGCTTTTTGCCGGTGAGCGAGTACTGCTCGACCTCGGCCTCGGCACGGAGACCCTCCTGCTCGGCGGCGGCGGCGAGTTTGCGCTCCATCGCGTCAAACTCCTCCTTAGAGAGGTTGAGCTTCTTCATCTCCGTGATGCGCTTACGGTATTCCTGGTACTTGGTGTCCGTGCCGAAGAGGTGGTCGCACCAGCGGAAGGAGGTGGAGAAGTTGTTCACGAACGCCATGTGGTGGAAGTCGTGGTGCTCGGCGCCAGACCAGAAGGGAAGGATGTGCTGGAGGGACCAGGGGAAGTCTACGAATACCGCCGGGACAAGCCAATCAAGACGCCGAACGACAGTCTAGCAGCAGACGACGTACCATAACCGGAGTGAGCATCAATGGCTTGGAAGAGACGGAGCGTGATCCAAGCGTATACGGTAACGATGTGAAGGTCGCCGCGGAACGCGCAGTAGAGCAGTGGGCCAGCAATCGTCCCAGTACCGAGGATCATGACCTCAGCAGGGTGTGCGTACTCAGCGGCAAGACCGAAGGGGGCCGAGTACTTGTGGTGGATCTTGTGAATGTGCTTGTACAGCGGGCCCCAGTGCAGCGCGCGGTGCGCGAAGAAGTGGAACATGTCCTCGAAGACGAAGAAGAATGCGATCTGGAGGACCTGCTGTTTCCAATGGGGGAAGGGCACTTGCCAGGTGGCCATGCCGAATGCCTCAGCCATAGGGTGGAAGAGCCAGATCTACACGGATGACGCGTGATGGAGAAGAAAACAAAAACTCAGCCAAGAGTGCAGAGCAAGAATAGATGGGAAAACACGTACGACTGGGAGCTCGACCATGAAGTGCGAGAAGAGGACCTGCTTGGTGCACTCCCACTGCTCCTGGGCGGTGGGGATCTTACTGGGCTGCAGCTTCCATTTCCTGAAGTAGGGGATCGCGTCGATGATGATCCAGGGTATGCAACGACCGAAGTAGACGATCTGCGAGGAATAGAGTTCAGACTCATGCATGTTGAATGCAGGAAGAGAGCGCGTCGAACCTCGTGAAGCAAAAAGCTAGCAAGCCCGGTCGCGAGGATGGGGTTGTTGATCCACATGTACCATGCGACCCACTGGGTCTCGAGGAAGCTGAGCTTGCTCAAGTCCGTGTTCGCGTACAACACGTCCGCAGACGGGTGCACGAATGGCGCCGTCGAGTTCATGTTGGGCGGGTGCTGGCGGGCGTAGACTTTAGGGTTTGACTAGTCTTGGAGGCGTCCGCGTCAACAGCAAGGCCTAGTTACGACTCGTAAAGAGAGGAAATGGACAAGAGGGGACCGCCGCTGGTGGTGGTCGTGGGAGACGGCCGCGGGCGAGTTTTATTGGGTGCATTTTCCGTGGTGCCAGCGTCGCGTCGTACGACTCGGCTATGCGATTTAGGCATCCCTCACGTGGCCCAGCCGCCCCTCCTGCTGTCCAGCGATTCCAGCTCTTCTTCTGGCCTGCTCCAGCCGTGAGCGGGACCCGGCAAACATGACAAGAGAGTGTCTGTGGTGCGACGATGCCCTATCGTTGTGGTCCAGGTAGAGTTGAAACTCAATGCAGGTCGTACGGCGGTACGGCTCCTATGACCGCACATTAGCGCCCTTACAAGAGTGGATGATTTCGGCTCAGTTGTCTTTAGCTCGCCAGCTATGAAGGGATTTTGCTTAAACGGACTGTCACACAGCCGCAGATGTCGCTGACTTCATCACACATGCTGGACACTGAGCAGGATAGTAGCTCAGCCATATGAACGTGCCACTCAACACGCGCGCAGTCTCATTACAGTTAGTCCTATCGGTAGTTGTTACTAGCCAGTGTCCAACAACTCTAATCCGCAATCTAAGTAGCGTGGTCAACGGCACTGGCGCTTTCCAAGCAAAGCCCCGAAGCGGCATACGTACGTCGAATTCGCGATGCGGCGAACGTGAGCTTGTCGAGCTCCTGTCTACATCCCTTTCCGAGTGCACAGGTCCGACCGAGTCGTGCCCAGGCCATCGCAGCTATGTGAGTCCATGCCATTGAGTTACGGCATTCACGACAGTTCGACGTCTCATATTCTTCGGCACACCCTCCTGCCATCCGGGCGCGCCGATCCCGCCCGGCCTCCCAAACTCTCTCAAGCATGGAAGCATTTGCCTCAAAGGAGAACCCATGGGTCGCTAGTGCATTATGCAGGAGGCAAGAACGCGCCCCACAATACACAACTGACTGCGCCCCAAACGACGCTCCAGCCGACCCACCACCTCCCCAGCGCCGGTCGCTCAACAAGCAGCCACGCCGCCGCCCAATACGTGCACGGCATCGTCGCCGCAAAGCGCAGCACGATCTGGGTGTGCGAGGCGAAGAGGAGCAGGAGACACATGAGCAGCGCGTGGATGGCGTGTGGAGCCAGAGCCGGATGTAGGAAGGGCGACGTGGTCGCGCGACCTTCGTTCCGGGACTCGTTTGACTTGCCCGAAGCGGGAGAGGAGGTGATTAGTGCTCGGAGTCGGGGGATGAGGGCGGCGCGTGAGTAGTGCAGCGTGTACGCGAAGAGGAGCGCGAGCGGAGGCGCGCCAAGGAGGAAATTCGGGAGTTGCTGGAGCGTCCAATAGCGCAGGAACCCGACGTTCCAGTATTTTGACTGGGCGTAGCTGTAGATAGAAGGCAGAAGCGAGTCGCACCAGGGGGCGGGTTCCGAACCGTCCGCGCAGAAGACGCGATATGCGGAGTACTGGAGGTATACGAATGGCGAGACCACCATAGCGGACAACGCAACTGCGTAGATCGCGGATCCTAGGTTCACCTGGTGTTGAGCGTCAGGTTGTCTCTATTCTTCTGGCAACAGGTTCAGCGTACTTTGCGGTGTTTGAGGAAGGGTTCGGCTATGAGTCCATAGAGAATAAACCCAGCCAAGAATATGCCGTTTGAGCGCGACGTCGCAGCCACCATGAAGGAAAAGGCGGCGAAGAGCCATTGTTCTTTTGCACAGTAGAGCATGCCTGTGGGATTTCAAATCAGTTGCCTCACAAGACGCATGATACTGAAAGTACGGGGCCACGAGGAGACACGTGAAGTGGAGTGGAGATATGAAACATTGACCCAAGTCCGTTATTTGATCAATAGTACCAGTGGTGCGGAAAGGGGCACACCTCCACTGCCCTCAATTGCTATACGCCAGCGCTGGTCAACGAGGCCAAAAAGGTAGGATAGTTCGCAGTAGTCTCAGTAAGATCTGTCAACAAGCAGGAGGACTTCCTGTCGCAGTCCGTTGAGACCCAATCGACAAGAGAGGATCGTTGTGTACTCTCTCAAATGATTCGTTCAAGACATATTCTTACCTAGATACGAGCACCAGGCGAAGAGTGCCTCGGTGTACCCCGCCACGCGGAACGTCGCCGGGCTACTGGGCAGCAGCGATAACATCGACGCCAGCAGGGCAACGCTCGGCGAGCCCAGCAGCTCCAGCGTCAGGTCATACAGCGTCAGCACAGAGTGCACCGACAACATGGACCCAAGCACGCCCCCGACAAGGACGTCTTCCCAGCTCAGCTGCTGCGGGCTTCCGACGCTCGCGGTCGGGACGCGGAGCAACGCACCCAGGGCGCGCATTAGGGAGGGTACCCCAGGGAAGAACGCCCATTCGTGCTCGTACACGTAGCCCTCCTTTGCTATGTGCGCGAAGTGGAAGGCGTCCCACCGCAAGACCGCGGAAGCGAGCGTCCGTCGGAGCGAAAAGGTCGCGGGCCCCGTCCCCGGCGATAACAGGATCTTCGGCGACGAGTCAAACAGCGGCAGCTGTGCTGCTGCGACGGTCAAGATGAGCGTGAGGAGGCTCGCCGCGCACGATGCGGCAAAGAGCATCCGTCTGTGGTTCGCTGGGTTCGCCGGCCGCGCGTGAGCGGTCTGCTTCCCGGAGAATGACATGGCGGATTGCGCTAGGAGGTTCTTCATCAGTAGTCGGATGGTGCGTCGGATATGCTTGATACCATTCACCTTCTGTGTCTTCCAACTGTTGGAAGTCGCGCGAAGGGCAACAGAGGCTCTCGAAGGTGGGATGTTCAACGCAACAAGTTCAGGTGCAACCTTCGACTTGCCTTTCTAGGGAAGGAACAGAGCGGAGCGCCCATCGATGAACGCGCTGCCCGAAGGCAAGGTTGATCAGAGCAGCGCCGCACTGCTCAAATGTATGCGCATGCCGACATCCACATGGACCGTTCAGCCCTACTCAGTCGAGCATTCTCAAACCCGCCCAGTCCATACCCATTTCTCTCTGCGAGGAGCCCACCACCTACTCCAGCTGAGATCTCTGGAAAGCTGCAAACACCCTCCCTACAGCAGCACACTGCCGTGGGGCAAAAATAAGTACAGAACAAGGATCAGCCAAGGGGAACTAATGCCCAGTACGTGTCTGGTTCTTCTGTGCGACGCTATGTTGGAGTCTTGGCGTCGTCTACGGAGCCTCCGTGCCCGATATGTATCTGCCTTCCTCCAGATCCGCGTGGTACCTGAAGTCGGGACTGGAATTTCTCGGTCTCGAGAATTTACCCAGCACGATCAGGGGGGTCGTGTGCCACAGTGCCCCTCGGGCAAGCAACGACAGCGCTGGCTATCTACGGTGGAGACCTGCGGGATCCGCCCTGATTGTATGGCGAGGTAGGCCGATACATACTTCTACTTACGATCGAGCGAACGTCCTGGCCTATGGTCCCTGAACAACCGTATCTAAGCGATGACCACACTAGCTGCAGAGCCAAGGTCGAGGCTTCCAGCTGCGCCGTTGAAGTTTGCTGCTGGTCTCGCTGATCCCTCAGGTTGTGCCCACATATCTTTTGTCTCATTATCACCACCTTCCCCCGTCTTCCTCAAATAACGACTCTTGGCTATGGGCACTCACATGCCTTCTCAGTACCCAGTGCACATTCCATATCGCCTTTCTGCTCAGCGTCGGCGCTGCACGTAGCGCGACTCGATATCGATTCCCCGATCTTCTGTTTTTCCAGCAGGTGCAGTCCCGGAACTCGGGCCAAGCCTTGTCCGCACGGCCACTTGTGTATTTATCGTCTCTTTGGGAACTCTCTAAGTCCCGCGTGCGTGGCGTCGCAGATTGTCTGCGACCGCATGATTCCCTCTCCGGCGTCGCCGTCGATGGCCGATGCGTCGCCACGGGTCGTCTCGGAAGGGGGTCTCTGCGCGCGGCGCGAGCTTGAGACTTGCGAAGACATCTTCAAGTGCGCAGCTCTTGCAAATCACATCGTCGCGACCAGTATTTATAGATATCAAGGGGGAAGCCTTTGTATGTCCGCCCACTTCGCACCACTTACATCGACGCGAGTAGAGTTTTGCGCGTTCGGGGCTAGCGGAGTGTTCATGTGCACACAGCTTTCACCATATGCACAGCTCCAGCTGAAGCGGGAGCATCACCCGCATCGCCCTTGACCGAGAGGCTATGAAATCTAGCTCGAATTGGCCACGTCGAGTGGTCGCGCTTCTGTTGCGCCCGTCTGTCCGCCGGGTCGTATGCATCTGATGGGCGCCTCACGAGATCATCGTCGCACCCACGCGCATGTGGTTGATGTGCACCAGAAGATCTGCTTTGCAGCCGTCTGAACTCAGAAGATGTCAACTGTGGCAAGGATATGTGACCTGCTCTCAGCCGGGGGTGAGCGTGGGGTAGCCGGTGAGCTCATTCCGTGCACTCATCCGCTTCCTGGGCAGGCACATAACATGCGAACGAACCCACCTGATAAGAAGCTGCGGCGAAGAAGCGCACACAAAATACAGCATCGCAACGGTTCGCTTGAAGTCGTGTGGTTTCGCGGGAGGATGAGGCCCGAGGTAAGGCATTCCATCAACCGATGCAACGTGATCTGACATCTCGACTGAGTACTAGTGACAGCGATCAGTTCCTGTCAAGCCGCGAGGAATTCTACACCTTCTTCCTAGCTTGCTGTACTGAACCATGGCCGACTTGCAAGTTGCCATGAGGACCTTGGAACAACCTGGTCCTTGAGGATTCAGACGGTGAATTGGGCGGGACCCGGACATTCGACCGTCCGAGGGGCACGAGCGCTTGGTGGGGGGGTGGGAGAACCGATCGCGCGGACAAGCAGATCTGGGATGCAAGATCTGGGATAGCTGGGTGGCTCTTCTTATCGACTCTTCCGGTTGGGTACATCACCCGATAAAATGCGCTAGCTCGCGCGTAGCGTCCCCTCCCCCCCGCATCTCTTCGTTGCACCTTTGCACGCCTCGACCATGGTAGGCTTCACGGATAGGTTGAATGCCCGAGTAAGTAGTCCACCTCTTCGCGCGATATCGTTCGAGCGTGCTCAGGTTACCTAGGTTGCGGACTCCGCCGTCGGGAGGTATTTCCGCTTGGAGGGTTCCGGTCACCCACGCGAACGTGAGGGGTCTCGGTTCTTGGTGCGTTGTGCCGCTCGTCCGACTCCATCGAACAACTTTGACATTTCCTGCTGCAGACTGAGATCCGTGCTGGTCTAACAACATGGGTGAGTAGTCCAGGCGTACATGTTCAATCTCGCGAGATGTTAACCTCTCGGACAGGCCGCCATGGCGTACATTGTATGTAGTTACGTTCTGCCCTTCGCGTCTTTCCTCTCAATGCGACTTGCTCTCCAGATCTCTGTCAACGCTTCCATCCTCACGGACTCTGGAGGAACATGCGTGTGCTCAACGAACGACGGTTGTCTTGATGACCCAGCCTACAACACCTGCCTCGGTGAGATTCAGCGCGACTTCATCACCACCACCGCTTCGATCGCCTCGCTTGCCTCTGTTCTCATGGGGGCACTCGCCAACTTGCCGGTCGGGATGGCTCCAGGTTTGGGCCTCAACGCATACGTGAGTCATCCCGCTGCACTCTGTTTGCTCAGGTGCCAAACGGTCTATCCCATTAGCTCGCGTATTCAGTCGTAGGGTTCCACGGGAGTGGTTTCATCACATATAGGGAAGCTATGGCTGCGGTGTTCATGGAAGGGTACGTGCCCACCGCGCTCCAGATCCACAGGTGCCTGGCCTTATCTCTGCGCGCTACTGTCTTTTAGCTGGATCTTCTTCATCCTCTCTCTGCTGGGTCTCCGGCAATGGCTCGCCCGCATCATGCCTCAGTCGCTAGTCTTGGCCGTTGGTGCTGGTATCGGTCTTTTCATCGCCTTCATCGGACTCTGTGAGCACGAAGCGCTACCCGCCTCTCCATATCGCGCCTAAGGCTGACCATGCATCCTCCGTAGCCTCTGGTGGTCTCTTCGTCATTGGTGGTGATACCACGAATCTCGTCGGCCTGGGTGGCTGCAAACCCGAGGACTACATCGACCCGAGCATGCCGTTCTACTGCAACTCCAAGGTCATGCGTCTCCCGACGATGTGGCTTGGTATCTTCACGGGCGGGTAAGTCGCATCCGGATCCCATATCTATGACGTCCGGGCGGCACGTTAACTCACCTTGACACGCTTGTTTCCGTGACGCGCGTGCCTGACAGGATCTTCACGGTGTTCCTTATGCTCTACCGCGTTAAGGGCGCGATCATCTGGGGTATCTTCCTGACGTCGATTATCTCGTGGCCGCGCACGACACCCGTGACCGCCTTCCCCCACACGGACGCCGGCGACGTTGCCTTCGACTTCTTCAAGAAGGTCGTTACCTTCTGGCCGTTGAAGCATGTCGGAAATGCCCTTGACGTAAGTTCGTTCGATCCGGTGGGCGTTGGCCTCGATTACTGACGCGCACATTTTGTTTGCCCTTTAGTACAACTATGGTAACGGCAAGGTGTGGTACGCGCTTATCACGTTCCTCTATGTCGACATCCTCGGTGAGCACGTCTTGCCTCTATCTCCCCATTTTCAAGCCCTCAACTAACGTGTGTCCCGCCTTCAGATACCACCGGTACGCTATACTCCATGGCCAAGTTCGCGGGCCTCCGCGACCCCGTGACGCTCGACTTCGAGAATTCGACGATCGCGTACTGCGTCGACGCTTTCTCGATTTCCATGGGTGCGCTCATGGGCACGTCCCCCGTCACGGCTTTCATCGAGTCCGCGACGGGTATCGCTGAGGGCGGCCGAACGGGCATGACCGCGATCGTGACGGGCATCATGTTCTTCATCTCCATCTTCTTCGCGCCGATCTTTGCGTCTATCCCATCGTGGGCCACTGGCGGTGCGCTTGTCATCGTCGGTTCGCTCATGATCCGCACGTGAGTACTATTCCTTGGCTCTGTTCTTCGTGTTCGTTGCGTTGTGGAGCATCTATCTGTGCTGCGTTCCAACCGCATCATTGATATGCTGCGCGACGCAGACGATCCGGTACCTTTTCGACAGTGATGCTGATCCTCGTCGAACTCTTGCTGACGATCCACGAACCCAACAGGTCGCGCGAGATCAACTGGGACTACGTAGGCGATGCCCTGCCCGCGTTCCTCACCATCATCACCATCCCGCTCACCTACAACATCGCGTACGGCGTCATCGCCGGCATCCTCTCGTACGTCCTCCTCAACGGCGGTGCCTGGATCATCCGCAAGGTCTCCGGCGGCCGCATCGTTCCAGCAAACTACGACCTCGCCGAGACCTGGGTCATCCCCCCTGGCGGCATCGTGCCCGGCTGGGTCAAGGCTCTCCAAGGCCGGAACCGCAGGGAGGAGATCGTGCCAATGGAGCAGCGCCCGGCGCACTCGCCGTCGCTCGAGGAGCACACGAAGGGCAGCTTCGCCGCCTCGGAAATTTGAAGATCCTCAGCGTCGCACCAGATAGGCTCTCCAGCGACACCTCGCCGAATGTATGCCCGCATGTAGATGACATATAGGTATTTATGCGGCGGCACCAGTTACACCAGCAGCATTTCGAACTTCCCTACGCCCTTCCCCGACTCTTGGATTATATCGCTTGGACCGTTGTATATAGAACTTACGGGCCCCGGCCGTTCAACTCGCGCTTCGGCTTGTTTCCTTCCCTCGCCCCTCTCCCTCTCCCCGCCTGCGACCTGCGCTCTCCTACCGCATCATCCCGCCTCGTTGTGTCGATATACCTTCCCGGTCGCGTGCGCCCGCATCCCTTCTCGTCTCGCTCTTGGGCGTGATGCCGCTGCCGACGTTGTAGAAAACCCATCCGTTATCGCTCTTATCATCTAGCCGCACGCTATTTCATTTAGCACGGCAGTATGCTAAGCGCCCCAAGTACGCATGGTATACCCGTACATAGCGCGTAGGATGCTTCTTGTTGTAGGCTGAGTTTCTGCTGCTCGCCCGCTCTCTCGAAAAGCGCTGTACTATCTCAGATGTACGACACGTCTTGTCTGTGCTCGAATGCATGTCCGCTCATTTCTGTGACCCTTAATATAACTTGCTGTATCTCTCTCGTGCGCCATGGTGTCATGTACGGCCAAGCGTCTCAACGCGTCAAAGGACCATGCAGGCAGTTTTGCATTCGCCCCCTCAAGCACAGCTGCTTGTGGCATATTCATGTCAGCCAATTCCGACGGGTGCTGGTACATTTTCTGTACCGTCAAGGCGAACAAACTCCCCGGATCACCGTGTCCGATGCGATATCAGCGAACTCGACGCATAATGATTGGGCGATATCGACATGAGGATGAATGAGAACTCGGTGACCCTACTTACAGGATGAGGTTTGGTCCCATGAGGACAACAGTCTCGTAGGTACAAGTCCTGATGTGGATGTGTTTAGGTAATCACATGCCAGTACTGGATGATCCGACAACGTCCTTTCCTTCCTGCCCAACGCCAACAATTATCCCTCAAAAGGACACTCTCGTCTACGTGAAGGCCAACTACGAGCTCCGAGAGCCCGACCCCGACCCCTACAGCCCCCTACAGCCCGACCCTTACAGCCCGACCCCAAACCCCCGGAGGTCAGCGCCAAATCTTCTTGAAACACGGTGCGCATCATGATCGACCTGCTGAATGTGGTGACTATGCCGAATGCTCACCGCGAGGCTAGAAAACACTTTTGTCCTCCGTCTACCGCCAGGGAGCGGGGAGGATATTGACGCGGAGTGATTTGCTGATGCAGACCGTGACGTCGTTCTCTACACCGTACCACCTTCCCAGGCTTGCTCACGATAGCTTTCAACTTGCGTATTCTTACGTTAGCCATATCTTTCCACAACCTTGCAAGTCTCTTCGCGACGCCCGGTTGCGTAACCTTCCATGTGCTCTATCCGCAGACCGAAGCATATTCGAGTCTTCGTATGATGGGTGATTAACTCGTAGTGAGCATACTTGACATATATACAAACCTTATCGCACAAATTGGCTGCCAGCGTGCACCTCTCTCCCATCGTCTCTTCATAGAACATGCTCTTAGGACGACGACCTCGCATACAGAAGGTACGACGAACTCGCGGACAGAAGGTACGACGTCTGTCAGTGGGCGTGGCCTCCAGTATCCCTTTTATTCTAACTGGTGCACGTTGAAAGGGAGCCAGCCCCCTTCGCTGTTTTGCACGAACAATGCGTCCTACAACGCCGGAATAGCTCGCGACGGTTACAAAGCTGTTTACGCTAGAAAACCCATGGTCTTGACGTGTGAGAAAGAATCCTCGATACACAGCGGACTAAACAGTAAGTCGTGTTCCCAGCGCCCACTTCCGAAAGTCGGTGTTGCTCGTCCAGACCAAACGTCAGAAGGCATAAAGGACGAGAAGACAAGACCGCGCATTTTGGTTTCCCGACCTGATCTCTGTCTCAGGCCGAGCGGCCTGAGGCAGCGAGCAGGAAGGTACTTATCCCGAGGACCACGAAAAGGTATGCGCCAGGACCGGAGTCCCTCCCTCGGGAAAAGAAACCACGCACCTTGGAAGGGCCAGAGGCCGATAGGGAGAAAATCACGTACCTTGCGTCCGTAACCGCCACCACCGTGGAGAAATCACCTACCTTTGGGCCACAACCGTAAAGAAACCACGCACCTTGAAGCGGAAACCGCTACGACCAGGAAGAAACCACGTACCTTTAGCCACGTCCCACCACCGAAAGAAAATTACGCACCTTGATTAGGCCACCACCAAAAAGAAACCACGTACCTGGAGGTCGGACACTGAGAGCAGTGCGTTCTCGCCTCGGGGTTATATGCTCGCCAGCGTTGCTAACTGGCCCATGTCAGCCTATGGTCAGCCTCCTCATGACTCCTTGCGGCACACCGGCAGGTCAGCACGCTGGAAGGCTTATGACGTCCTTGTGTCTTTCTTAGCCAACAGTCGACTGCATTGGTACGAACTGATGTGACGTCATCGAGCGTTGCTAGAACAAACTGTTCAGGATGATTGGCTGCGAACGAGGCTGGCCAGGTCACAGCATAACTACGAAGCATCGTCTTCTATGCCGACGTGCTGCTCGGGGCTGACCACTCGGTACTGACAAGCCAAGTGCACGTGCCGTTCCTGCACCAAGAACGCGGTCAAGGTCAGGAACGCGACTATCTCCCGTATCACGTCTCTCCTTCCTTCGCTTGTTCTCGACCACTTCTGAAGCGCCGTCCAGCCGACGCAGACGCGAAAGACTTCAAGCGTTCATACGCTCTCTCTCGTGTCGCGCATCCTTCAAAACGACTACTATTTGTGCAAGACCATCGCGCTCCCGCCTCCGAAGAACAGTGAGGAGGATACCTCGCTCGAGCGCGTCATGCACTTGCGAGGTGAGGCTCCCGCTGAGCTGGTGAAGGACTGGGCAGTCGACGGAACGAACGCGCAAGATGTGGAACAAGATCGAGGAGTTGTTCTGGACGAACGCCACCATCTTCGTAGTGGGCGGCTTCTGGGGAAGGAAGAAGACGAAGAACGGCGATTTCTTCCTGTAAGCGGAGCATCTCAACTCGCTCAAATATCCTTATAACTCACGCCGTCCACTCAGCATGCATCTTGTTACGTTCGTTTTGTTCCTCCCGTCTCTGGCTGCGTACCCCTCTCCGACGTCGATCAACATTCTTCTCCGCACGTATCTCCTCAACACGCTCGCCCTCTACGTCGCGTGGCCGCCCTCCCTTGCCAATCGCCGGATTCTACGACACCGACACGCCCCCTCCTGCCGACACCATGACGAAGCCCGCGGACGGGGCGCTCGCCCCAGAGAACACGACCCCGTACGCGTGGCTCGCGATTGTGCAGAGCACGCTCTCACCCGGACGACCACCTGTGCAAGCTGCAGCGGTCGCTCGCGCACTTCGCAGCGCTGTACGGGACCACGCCCGCAAGGCGCTGGGAGGAGCTGGGCGTCGGGCTGGAGGACGCGGGCACGGAGAGGCTGGACGGGTCGCTGCTCGTGCGCACGGCGGGTTTGGCTCTGGAACGGGCGGGGTGGATGTACGAGGGGGAGGAGAGGAAGGAGTGGGACTTTGATGTGTTCTATTATGACTGATTGTTTGTAGGAAGTCGATGCCCGATGTCGGCACGAGGTGCCTTGTACTAGCTGCCTTGTCCTATGAGGGAGGGCTGAGAGGCAGTTTGTCATCATTAACTGTACAAGAGACTTTTCATAGCAGAAGGTTATACTCATACATATCGCATGGCTCGCTGTAATACTAGTCCGGTACGACAACTGGCATCACGATAGCTACATTCCTGTAGAACGCGATCAACACACTTACACCTGAAACCCTCTTAGATCTGGTATGATCTCGACAGAAGCGAATGGCCGCATGGAGTCGAAGAGGAAGAGCAGAGCGGCGATGGAAAAAATAATGAAGAATACCAAAAGCCCGCCGGATGGTGAAGGGCTTTGTGTTATTGGAGTCGCTACTGATAGCCACCCTGTCATGATTGCCGTAGAAGCGAACAAGCACAGTGCTGGTATCTGTCGGAAGAGGTAGAATTCAGGCCGTTCGGCTTGGTTCGCATCCTGAGACGAGAGGTCAGGCACATGTCTCGCAATATAGGTCTAGCTGCCTACCAGAAACACGGTGAAGTCCTTTTCTGCGAACAGTAACATGTTAATCAAGAGGCCGAAACCCGCGATGGCGGGCATCACTACGACGACGGGCATATGCGGGAATACGATGGGTGCCGACGCTGACTCCAGTCTCTCATCCGAGGAAACAATGAGATCAATCACCATCAACAGAGACAACTGTATGCCGTAGTTAGTGACTTGATATCCGTCAACCTTCTGTGCAGACGTACCAGGGAAAAGGTCATGAGCCATCGCAGTCGACGGTGCCTCAGAAGCGCCGCAGACCGTAACTTGGCCATCTGATCATCACTGATGTACATAGCGCGGACGTGTCCATCCTCGTCTAGGTCAAAGGAATTGGCGAATGTTGCTGGAGATCCTATGGAAAAGTCGTCCGTGGTGTGGTAGGATTGCTTGCGGAGCAACAGACAGGCCAAGCCTCGCCAAGGGTCCTCGCAAGCGAGGAGGGCTACGTGGGTAGATTGGCTTGGGTTCGACGACGAGATCCGAACGACAGGGAGATGGACTTGCATGCCGTATGCGGAACAATTACATAGATAGGGGTGTATCGAGGATGTAGCCTAGCTTGCGATGGAATGCTCCTCTTAGGAGGGGCACGAGACTCGACAAGCCCTGGAAATCACCTGGGGAGGATGCGAGGAGGCCGTGGTCTCTTGTAGCGAGGAAGGCGGCTCCAGGGGATGTGGATGTATCCCTGGGCGCATAGCTGTACGTTGACCAGGCAGGGAACGTGAGAATGTCGGTGGAGTGGAGTGAACGGAGCCCCCAGGCAAAGATGGACTGGTCAGGAATCTTCCGCAAGACTTCCTCTTGGAGGCGTAAGAACGCGTGCTTACCTCCCCCGCCGTATATGACGGGCAAATGGACGCCAAATATACCGAACAAGGAATACGCCTTGTCCTCCGCGCGCGTCGTCTCCCTGGAAGCTGCTCAAGACATATGACGGGCGATGGGGAAGCCCGACAGCTGTCTGTCGAAAGTCAATATTGAGCGGTCCACGCCCGTGATGGCCTCAAGAGATCTCGAACTTGGAGCCAAGTACTGACCAATCGTTGAAGAGGAACTCGACCGCTCGAGGTGCGATGAGTTCCTGGAGCGTCCATCCGCGTCGGTGCCACCTGCTATCCCGGAACTCTTGCTCCGAGTTCTTGGACGCGCTGTTGACATCCGATAGGTACGCATAACAGGCGTCAGCCTTACTGTACCAAACGAACATCGAGTTGATTGCCTCGGAGAGCTCGGCAGAGCTCGTCTTGTCGATGCAACAGGAGTCGACCCAACCATAGTCATAGCCGCGACCTAGTGCAAAGCGACGAGATCTCAGGACCTTCTGTGATATCATAGGATAGGGGAGTCGAAGATTGTGTTGCCGGGATGCTTCCTTTGGATTTCGCAGAGTTGTTGGAATGTCTGCTCTCCATAGGGGTTTTATGTGTGTGAGAGGATCGCATAGGTGACATGCTCGGGCTTGACGAACTCCACAAAGCGGAAAGTTCGCGTGTCGAGCAATCGCATCGTCGACTTACACCAGGCCTGTGGAAAATATATCCGTCAACCTGGAGAGCATTGAGAATCTACTTCGAACGCTTACCCTCAAGTTCGCTGGCAAAGCCTCGAAGAATGTGGAGTGTCTGGTCACGGAAGCGGTTGGGCTTATCATCCACAGTCAGCACGCCCTTGCGACCCTCAAGCCACAACCTCAAGGTCTCATGTCACCGCCCCCAAACTTCCCTGTCCATCTGTCAAATCTATAGAGTCAGACTGCGTAGCCTTGGAGCTATGAAGACGCTGACAAAGGTCCACTGGTATGTCATCTATCGAGGTTCAACAAAGAGCTTCCTTGCGACCAGGAGAGGAAGTAGAAGGTGGATATCGCTAGGTATGTACACATTGCAGATTTGAGGTCCAAGGGGTGTGCGAATGACCAAGAATTAGATGCTGGTTGTATTGAGTCGCGGCTGTGCGAAGCACAGGTTGTGCGATTTGAACGAAGTGTCAGTGCCCTATGGACTGAACCCTAGGATGGCAGATACCAGTTTAACTGTACTTTGAGTAGAACACTTTCACGAGGCCTTAGGGTCATGGATGCAATCTGTAGCTTGACTGACGTCATGATTCCTAAGACATTAGTCTTCCTTGCGACCTCGGTGAAAAATACCATTCAATCGTAGCCGCAAACATACCGGATGAGCGCTTTATCACGGAGCGTTGGACATTGGAGATTACCGGGGTAGGCAAGTCAGGAGAGGATTCTGCACGATGCGACACACAATGACAAGTCAAGCACGGATCCGGAGAAGGCGACAGGCGGGCATTCGGGTAGACACTAGACGGGCGCTTACCGGCATAGAGGCCAGGCGCACCGAGAGTAGGTCCACTGGTAATGCGAACGGCCACGCTCGACACGCCGTTCGAGTCGTGCATCGCTCCAGTTCCCCGTAGAACGTGCCGAATCCCGCTCGTTGAAGTGCATCCGGATGCTTCGCATGTCAAGGTGGAGACAAGGTTCACTCCATGTCTACTACTATTACTACTACTACTACTAGCAGACTAGCTTCGTACGAGGGACGATTTTGCGCCTCCGTTCAATGCGAGTCGGGTTTACGCCCGCGGAGAGCTCGCAATGGGCGACCTTCCTTTGCTATTCGGTCAGAAAGCTCCGTCACAGCCTCATTCAGCTCAGGTTCTGTGTCTGCATCCCTGGACTCCCTCGACCTCTGTCTTGGTTGATGTATGACCTTTCTCCAGTGACTCGGAGAATATGTGAATGCCATGTGATGCAGTCAGAATGAGGGCTTTACGTGGTATTCCCGCAGTGGGGCGCAATCAACCACTCATGCCGTCAAAGTTCGAAAGTGCATAATGTTCAGTCTTCTTGTCCAGAGCACGGGTCCCATTGATATTCCCCTTCTTCGACAATAGTCCACATGCCACTTCGAGCTGCAGCATCGCCTGGATCCCGCCGTGACCACCCGCCATGAACCTTAAATGTGCTGCGGTAGCGTGAGCTCAGGGTCCTTTCAAAACCCGCGATAAGATCGTATGTTCCTTGAGCGCCCCTATCTGCCGAGCTGCATCGACGCCCTCTGAATAAGTGAACAAGTAAGTTCCTACCCGCCTCTCTCAGTGATATGCAGCTGACCATCACCAGTCTGTCTTTGAGTCATGTGCAAAGCGACCCTTTCCTGGCTACTGCCAGGAAACGCACCCTCTATGGCAGATGGTTGGTAAGTGGTTACTCCCGTTATCCTTGTCCCATGCAAGTTGAATTGATCGACCTCCACGATATGTACTTACGAAGGGAGAATTCTCTGGTAAGTAACAACACACTTCATTCAAGGTAGACACCCAACACATTCGGAATTTACACACTAGCGCAACCCCTCCTACTGGGTCGATAGAGACCTCTCGTCCTATGTGCATTCGACATATGCCCAAATCATCGCTTCGCAGCTATCGAGCATCATTGACGAAAACAAACTTACTCCTCAAGCTCTATGGTACCTTCAAGACAGTCGCGAACAGCTTCACGCGTGAGTTCTACCAATACCTCCTCAAGCTCGATACTACTTTGAACTAACGCATCACTACTAGGATCGCAGAGAAGCCATCTCTACAGGAGGCCCTATTGGGACTCGCAGAGTCCATTCCACCGAAGGTCCGATACGCCACTCTCCGAGTTCGCCATGTGCAGCAACTGTCCGAGGAGCTCGCATCGCAACCATCGTCCCCGACATCGCCCCCGGAGGAGTCCGTGCTTGAGCAAGACGATAATGTCGCTGAAAGCATTGGCAGCGAATTCATCTCGGGTGGACACATCGATACGGACATCAGCCCTGTCTCGGCTACTATGAGCGAGTTTCCTCTTCACATCGATGATACCACTTCGTCCATCGTTCTCGCGGATTTCACACCGTCCGGGGGCGGAGCGCAACAGCGGACGATGACGCCGGTGCAGGAGGTCACAGAGGCGCCTACAGTCCTCACCAACGCCGACGCTGCGCCCTGCATCGCCGCCGGACCTCCGCTTGGGGCGATGAATCCTGAAGAAGGCGCATCAGCAGGGTTTCGCGGAGGCGAGAGTGAGCCGCGTCCGATTGCTCACGTGGAGCCTGGTGCGAGCTCGTCGGAGTCGACTCTGCAGACAGCGGGCGACGAGCCGTCACGCAGCGGCGAGGAGACCGGCACTACCGAGGTGCCAACCTCTGCTGGGGTGCTATCAGAGGGAGAGCACAACTCAGTCCCCGCGAACTCCAACGACGACGCCTCCCTGCCTGGTGACGTGCCACAGCGGGAGGTGGAGGAGATTGTGCCTTCGGAGCAATGCATGCAGCATTCATCGGGGGAAGAGAACGTCCCGTACCAGGAGGCCGGTGCCGTACCTTCCGCTCGTTTGCAGCATGAGGGCCCATCGGAGTGCTCGGAGGACTCACAGGAAGCTCAGCGGCCCGAGGAGCCTCTTTCTCCACGGAACTTGCCCGATCCTCTTGCTACCGGAAATATGGATGATCAGCGTCCGAACAGCAGCGGTGGTATCGAGGATTCACAGGACCCAACGGCCGAGACCCCGACGCAAGATGGGGTGCCATCGCCGACCAATCTAGATCATCAAACCGACTCCAAGCCTCCTGCACTCACAGAAGAGATTCAACAGCTTGAGGAAGGGCCCGGCACCGCCGACAGCGAGCAGCCCCTAGCTGAGCCAGGAGCCGCGATGCCGGTAGAGACGTCATGTCTTGCACCCGGTGGTCCTTTATCGCAGGCAACGAACCACAGACCGATTGTGCAGTCGGCCACGCCAGCGGCGGCAAGCACGGAGACGTGCACTGCAACGACGACCATGACGGCGGAGCCGACTGCTCCACCGTCGTCGACTGTTCTCTCTTCGCAGACTGCTCTCCTTTCGCCCAAGGCTCCCCCTTCGCCGACCATCACTCTAGAGTCCGGCGCGGAGATGCAGCTTATAAGCCGAGACAGCAGTGAGTCGAGAGAGCCTAGTCCGCCTCCTGCGAGCACAGGCATTGACCCAGGAGGCGCGATTCCGCATCCGAGCCCGTCGCGACAAGCGGTCTCTCGTGCAGGACCGTCCACCCAGGGTAGCCACAGCTCCGCCCGTCCCCAAGCCAGCCCGAGAAACGGTGGTAGAGGCCGTCAAGCAAGGCACCGAGGGAGGAGGGGTTGACATCGGAGTACATGTATAACAGGCTGGGGTTTGCGGGGAACCAGAAAGAGAAAGAGAACGGAGCGTGTCCAATTCGAGGCTTGCGCACACAGAATGTCATTATGGCGTGGAATGAGGTGGTGAACAATGACAAACCTATAGGAGGACTATCGGACTGATAATTGTTCATCGCTCCCTGCGATGCCTCGGGACTGACAGACCTCAAAAGCCTCTCCCCAACGTCATAACTCGTAGGCGCGCCGATGAGTTCTACGTGCTTCCAAGGCTCCAAGGAAGCGTACCAGTGAGGAGGTGCACGTCAAAGGGTCAAGAAGCTGCAGGCCACCGTCAGCACTAGACTTATATGCGCCATACTCGAAGCACACATGCTCACCTTGGGCGTTGAGAACACGCCAGTCTGAAGTCGATCAAGTAGAGGCGTTGACTGTTGTTTCCCTTACCAGGATGAAGTCCTGGGCTTGAGGTCGCAATATTCCCTTCTCACGAACGTGTTGAAAGACGTCTGACTACTGATGTTATCAGCGATAAGAGCATCCCAGTCCTGGTTCAGCCGTACCATCTGATGTATGTGCGCAGGGCGATTCTGCTAGTCGAGATCGCCTTCTGGGAAGGAGACGTCGGGATGCGATCCACGACTGCCAGAAGCTCGGAATATCGTGGCCTTCCTCATGCGAAGTCACGAGGGATACCTGTTCTGGCGATATCACGCTTTAAGTAACCTACCAGCTTCCCGGGGGTTAGGGGTCTAACTCACCTTCAACAAGAGCGCACGCTTCACGGGTAGAATGGGATGCCGCACTTGGTTCGTAACACGGGATTTCCCACATCTTGACCTACAGCTTGATCGTGTATGTCGCTCATTATGGCTGCGGAGTAGACCTGCTCTGTGTCTCCATTTGGATGATGTCTTCAGATGTACAGGTAGACTACTCACCGAACGTCCCGTGATCGATCATACTGTGGTAGCGCAGCCGCATGTTGTTGGCAGCCGTGAAATGTTAGATACGGTGCTAGAGATCCGGCTGCGTGCCCCTTCTCGGCGAGCTCGTGGTCCTGGGAGGAAGAGACAGAGGCAGTGATGTCAAGTTAATAAGACATGGTGGATGACAAGTATGACCAGATGGACAATGAGAAGGTCGTCGACTTTAGCGAAGGGGAATCAATTCGTGGAATACATGGCATTAGGCGCCTAACGCCACTTTTCGTCCGGGCCGTCCTTCGTGAACCGTCGTGACTCGTGACCATCATCGCGGGCAGCGTCGGCCTCTTTTCCGCCGCACCGCATTGACCGTGATGCTCTCAAGCAAACTCCAGTCGGTCAAACTCCTTGATCTTGAGGTAGCAGTCCTTTTACGATGAGGGCGCCCCCGGAGGGACAATCGTGTTCTTCGGCTCATGACTGCTGCCACCCCGGGCGAGGACCTCACTGTGGAGATGGTTGGTAGTGGTAAATCTAGTGAGTCCCTGTAACATATGCTGGTTGCATCGACTCGTTTCTCCTCCTCAATCGCTTCATTCGGTTTCCCATCACCTTTGACGCCGACTTCCAAATTTTCGGAAGAGAGAGCCAGATGCGGCGGAAGCTTTGCAGGGCGCTGCGACCTCGACTGATCATAGCACCATTGCCAACGTGTGGAACTCTGTATGCATTGGTACGTAGTTCATTTTGCTGCATAATTCTTCCGTCACAGTGCCATCCGTTCGACCCCTCAGCGATTGATATACGCATGGTTCATCTGTACGTGCATCTACCTACATGATCGAATTCACATTGCAGCCTGATGCTGTTGGCCTGAAGCATCTTCGTGGGGCATCTCATGTTGTGTCCGTCAAGGCATAATCAATCTTGACGGAGACAAACATAGTCACTCAGTGGAAACCTTCTTGCGAGAACATGCTCTGAATGGCCTAGGGGAACGTGGAGGTGCCGTCATCCCATTCAGGGAGCGACAAGAACCAACCTACCCTCATTCCGTCTATCTTGCGGAGAGTCACGATCTCTATCTACGACTTCAAGCTACTGACAACGCTTCACTCACTAAAGACTTGGAAGTTGCTGCACACGGTGCGTGTGCAGCACATGGCTCTCTCGTCCACACTTTGCCTGAGGCTTGTGGACGACTGGCAGCACTTGTAACTACCAACATTCTCGGATACGACAATTTGAGCCTCTCGGGAGCTTACACCAATCTGGTCCACGACTCTGTTGATACATGCATTATAAGAAGGGTATACTATGAACAGTCCGATGTTATGGATACATGAGAATGTTCAATCGATCATAAGTAACAGTCGTCTCCTGGTCGTCGTGCTATGGATCAATCCAGGGCTCCGGGAACACTCAGCTTTTCCCGGAGCCCTGGCTCATACAACGGCTCTGTGGAATCATGCTCAGCACAGGCTCTCCCCAGTTCCAATAAGGCGATGGGATACTCACGCGCAACACAAACCGCAAGTCAAGCATGCAATGATAGCCGCCACGCCCTCTACGATCGCTGTATGACATGCATGTTCAGAGATTGAAGCCGAGCACTACATGCAGCTTCCATCTGCTTACCTGCGAATAAGCACTCTATGATACCAACGATCCCGGCAGCTAGGGTACATATGGCGTCCGCCAAGCATGCAAAAACGCCTATAAACATTCATCAGTTCTAGCGCCGTCTCTTCCCCATCGCCTCGCGTGGTTGACGTACCTACTATACAAGAAATTATGATTCTATATTTTCCAGAAGTGAGCTACCGGCGTTGCTTGCGGTGTCTGGAAGAATGACCCTACCCCATGACGGAGGTGGAAAGTAGTACAGAATACCAGGTATGATGTGGAGACTGGTCGCTAGCAACGAATGTCCTTTATATACATAGACCCCATGGCCACACCATCCGTCCGAAAATATCTGATGACACAAGTGACGTATGAAGCTCCTGGTATGGCTCCGACAGACGCGGCTCCGACACACTCCAAGACTGGGTGGTACATACTTAGGGTCCTTTCGCTACCGCGGATTGGGTCTGTCGGATTTGTGAACAGTGTGGAGCGCTTACAAATCGAGATGTCGAGATTTCCCACCGGTTCAAGATAGAGTTTCTCTGAACGGAATATGCGCGCCATGAGCCGCTACGTGCAGACATAGACGTTCCGCAGGCACGAGAGCACGTATCGCGCAGGCGCGCCGTCAAGTTGAATGCCACGCGGCCTAACGAACATTACTTAGCCATGCTGTAAATGTGCGCTTCAAATAATTGGAATCAGCGCCCAACAAGCGCTTACAAACACGCCCAAGGAGTCCAACCACCGTCGTGTCTCGAGCACCCTGCCATTGCCCACAATCAGGAACACTCCCATTCTTTCACTTGGAACATAGTGAATTAAAATCGTTACCTACTTGCATATGTCAGGCCACACGGACACCGTGGCCGGCACTCGAAGCGTCACATCCCGAACAGCTCGAAGGCCGCTGCCAAGTATACCGCAATCACAGTCGCTGCTTCCTTTGAGATACTCGTTGCGTGAGTTAAAGGCGAGTCTTGGAGCCTGTTGAACTGGTATGATAACTGGCCAACCAGTACTTTTGCCAGCGATCGACTATGCACTTCGGCGGTGAGTTGGCTTGGTCTGACCCGGCCCAACGTTTCTCCTGTTAACATCCGTATCCTAACGACGTCCGACGGTATTGTAACAACCGCTAGAGCGCGATGGGATTGCTAGTTTTTCTGGAATGCCGAGGCTGTCCCGGACATGAGCCATCCCCCGTCGCTTCATGCTGCAGTGCGGCAAGTTTTGGAACTCAGACGAGCGTCCTCGGACTTTTCATTGTCCATACTCTAGGGATGCCTTCAGATCTCGACCTGACTCACCGTGACCGATTACAAACCACAACCAACTCTACGCCCTATGAAATGTCCATGTCTACGTCGTCTCTTTGCGATTTCAGCTGGGAGCCAGCTACGTCTCTGCAAGTTACCCCGCGTAGCAGCAAGGCCCTCACAAAAGCCACCCGATCAGCTGACACCAAGCAAGATAGCAAGATATCTCGCGAGTTGTTACAGGCTGTCAGGGACGCCATGAAAGGTGTGTCTGTTCAATGAACTGGGTCGATGCGGCTGACTAGTGTTGCATGACTAGCTCACCGTCGAGCTTGGGAAGTTGGCGTCTCACATCGGGATGTGAGCACTGGAAATGTGCTTATATCGGAACGACCTGAAGACAGGCTACGAGGATTCCTTCGTGACTTCGACTACAGCTCGATTACGAGGGCGATTTTGCAACAGCCTCTCGACGACTCGCCGCTCGCGGGTCCTCTTCTACGTATGAGGGACGAGACTGGAGATGAAGATATGAAAGAGCGAACGGTTCGTCCTTCTCATGAATCATATGGAACATATGGAATCATCTGACCTCGCGTGGTCGACGGCAGGGCACGTACTACTACATGTCCTACACCTTGCTGAGTAGTGAAGATACCATTCATACAGCTCATCACGATTTGGAATCCTTCCTACTGGACCCTCCTGTGGATTGTCTTGCGCTATACTGGTCACGATTACAAACCCAACCCTTGGCAGCCGGATCCTTGCGCGCGCGCGTACAGGATTGGTAACGACGAAATGGCTGCCTCTGCGAAGGCTCACTGGATCATCGATCGCAAGCTCCGCATCACGTTCACAGGGAACAAGCCTTTGATAGACCTCATGCACGACTTCAGGATGCTCATCTGGCAAAGGACGGTTGTCCACCCTTACGAGCAAGAGCCTCGATATCTCACGCACGCCGCAGTGTTAGAACTCTTTGACAAGGCCCTTGCTCGCTCTAACGAGTGGCCAGATGCAAAGAGCGAAGGGCCCAAGCCTTTCGTGGGACCTCATACTGTGTCCGTCAACTTGGATCAGCCGAAGCGCCATGCTGAGCAAGATGCTGAGGACTCGGAGTCAACAGTGAAGCGGTCCCGCAGGCAGAGCAAGAAGGAGAACGGGACGGCCACAGGTGACCCCTTCGAGAGCACTTCTAATCCTCAACTCACCACGGTCAAGGGTAGCAGCAGGGGTAGCCGTGGCCGCGCGGGAGGTGGTAGCAAGACGCGTGGGTCGGAGAAACAACAGTCGTGATTGGTTCAACTCAATATCACAACGTAGAGCTCTCTGTTTGTTCGTGTGTTTGTACTATATTCCTACGTCATGTGAGTGTCCTGCCATAAGACGCTTCTTTGCGGCCGAGTCTATTTCAGTATTCTTCTTTAGAATACATGGGCAAGAAGAGTTTCTCCGAGTCCGCTCACGATTCTTGAGCATGCTCCCGCGAAACGAAGGGAATGTCTCGACCGTGCGTACGGCTTCCGGGCCGTCTTTGCGTGCCTGTAGTAATGGTCATGAAACGCTCATGAAGAGCCGAAGTCTAACTTCCTCAGAGCGCTCACCTACAGGTCGTCTGCTACGCGGCAAATCTAACGACCCATACGTCAGAAACATCGTCGTCGGGAATCTGCATACTACACCCGACCCAGCAACGTAGCGATCGTGCCGTGTATATCTATACGCATCCAGGACGATGCCTAACGGATGTTGATGCGAAACCATCCAGCACACAGCAAGGGAGCCCAATAAAAAGCCCGTCTATTGAGAAGAAAGTAAAATCGCCAGTACAAAGGGAGTGCCGCTCGAGATGTAGCCTAGACGTTCCTGTCACCTTGAGTCGGCAGCACTGGCATCTCGTTGACGTGCATCCCCTGCCCTCGCACCGCGTCCTTCCTCTCGCCCTCGCCTTCCCCTGCATCTGCCACCTTCTCCTGCATCACGACCTGCTCGGAGTTGAGCGTGTTCGCTTTCTGCAGTACCTCGTCCTCCGTCGTGCCCTCGTTGTCGGTCCTGTAGAACACAAGCAGCCCGACGAACTCGACTCCAACGATGCCTAGAAGGAACCAGTACGCGGCGGCGCAGCCAGCGTACGAACTCGGCCCCCCGTGCGTGTTCTCAACGCTCGACTTGATAGACCCGACTACAGAGATGCCAAGCGCAGAGCCGAGCTGGAGCGCCACATTGAATATCGCACCCACCGTACCTGCCATCGAGGACGGGCTCGTGTAGTAGAAAGCCATGCTGCAGGTAGAGGAAGATATCAGCTCCTGCCACAACATCAATGTGGGAAGAAGAGGCGGTGTGCTCACTTCGTGTGGGTGTAGATAAGCACCGCTCCGGCGGAGCCGAGCACGAACGCAGGGAAGATGTACGGCCAGTAGCGCTCCGGTCTGTCAGCGAACGCGAAGAGGATGGTGGCGACGATGCACAGGCCTTCCCCGAAGAGGATAATCCATTTTGAGTTTATCTTGCGGGAGAGCGGTCCCGTGAAGCTCATGGCGAACGCGAGCACCCCAATAGGAATCCTACGTGGCAGATAAGATGTCAGTATATGCTTCAGAATGGAAGGAGATGGCCAGACTCGCATATGAATGGCGGTGGAAACGGCACTCCACTTCCACACATCTTGCCATACCGTCATGTAAGTTGTGAAAATCGTTGTCCACCAGAAGAACGGCAGGAGTGCCGTGAAGAACAACACCAGGAAGTTGGAGAAGAACCATGTCCGGGGCGGTATCGCCGCACGGTCCGCGGGGACGGTCGTCTCGAAGTAGAAGAAGCCTCCGACAAGAAAGACAGCGATGATCAATGGGGCAAGGGAGGTAGGTGAGCCCCAGCGGGAGGTCGCTCCGGAGGTGACCGCGAAAATGAAGAGGATCAGCGCGACTGTAAGTGTAAAACAAAATAAGCGCAAAGATAGCAAGTTTAGCATTCATGAAACTGGAAAGATACTTACCAGTCAGGATAGAAAGGCCAGTGATGTCGAGGCGCTTCCATCCAGGGCCGTTCCGAATCGCAGCGTCTTCCAAGCGAGGCTTTTCCTTCGGGATGAGGAATATGCAGAGCGTGGCGATGGGAATCCACACGAGCGCGACGAACCAGAAGACCCATGACCATGATGTGGATTGCACAAATATCTCTCCGACGATCAGGCCAAGGACTACAACGTGTCCCAAGAGTCAGCATCTCCACTATACATAGAAAAGTGGCTCATGTTTCTCACCGTTACCGACAGCGCTGCAACCGCCGAAGACACCGATGGCGCGCGCCTGCTCGGCGGGCTCCGTAAAGACGTTGACAAGCAGCCTCAGGGAAGAGGGGATGAGCATGGACCCCGCGATACCGGTCAGTGCGCGAAGGACGATTAGTGGATTTTTGCTCGATACGAAGCCGGCACCGATGCATAAGACGCCGAGGCCAGATACGCCGCCGATGAAAGCAGACTCTACGAGGAAAAGGGTACAAACAGATGTCAGCGAAAGCTCAGGCAGACTGAGCAGACGTGTAAGAAGAGGAGTTGAAGTAGCGAAAGGTGCTTTCGAGATTGCTGTGGTTCTGCTAGGCATATCCTGTCGCTGCACGTTGTGAGGTAACGTGCATTACAGTCGACGACATCATAGTCTGACAACTCAAACATGATTCTGAGTTGCGGTCCAGCCACTTGCACAGTCAGTCTGGTCGGTTAAGGCTGAGCCGGCGAATACCTGGACCGCTAATGCAGCATCGGCGAGTGCCAGCTCGCAGAGGCATCTTGCTGTTAGAGCAAGGCCTAGATGATGCCAAACACCGCCTTCGCTGTCTCTCACCCGTGTCCTCTGGTTCGCACCGAAGAGCTACACCATGATTTGTATGAGCGACTTACTCGGATAGTAAGTATCGCTGATGCGTCCGCTCTATAAAGCAAATACCTTGAGGTGAGTGAAACGAATTCATCGCGTCACAGCAGACAGGCAGACTGCTGTAGCCAGGATCGGGATACTGCACTCACAATGGGCAAAAAAGACGCAAAAGTTATCTGGAAAGCGCTGCTGATCCACGTTGACTCGGACCTGTTCATGTCAAGGGATGCGACGAGCAAGGGGGTGGCTGAAAGAAGCGCTGAGTTGTGGAATGCATTGAGGAATTGGGCAAGCCAGAATATGATCAGCAGGAGGTACCGACGCGCGACGGAGTACCTCTGCGGGACACAACCATCGACCAAAGTCTGTACCGGTGAGCGCACAGTCGGTGGGCCGCGCCTTGCGTTGGGGGGAGCCAGCATGTTTTTTACGTCTAGGTCCTGCACAGAGAGAAGTAGGAGACAGGCTGGCGAAGAGTGGGCTGGAAGTAAGAGTAGAGGAGAAAGACGACGCGCGTGAAGACTGCTCAGACACAGAGCTAGCGAGCGCACAAGGCCGAGAATGACTTCTTCAGGTAGTTCACAATGACCAGGAATACGGAAGACCAGTAGAGTCTTATACCCTGCGGGCTCAACCACTCACACATGAGGCACACACGGAGCGCGCTGGTTAAGCAGATTTTAAGACCATTATGAGGCAGAAGAATCCATTGCTTACTCGATGTCATTCATGCTGGTATCGCAGACAGTGAGCGCAGGCCACCTAAGTTTATAATTGGCCCGCGGCGAGCGCAAGGCATGATGGAATTGGCCTGCAGTTTGCGGGACGGTAGTGAGCGAGCAGGAGAGGACATCCGAGAACAACTCGGTGCTTGCCTTTTATGTGTCGCGCTCGGCGCCCAGACCCATCGGCATCGTCGGCAAAAGCCTCGCCCTTGTCCGAGTGGCCGCCACCCTCATCGCTGTTGGCCGTTTGGACCTCTGCACCTCTGCTGGGGGCGAGGACAGCTTGAGAACGACCCGCCTGCGCTCTGGACGTACTAGGGAAGCTGGTGTTCTTCGGACCACTGGAAGACGTCAACCACTACTCCATTCAAGTTGTCCGTACCCCTCGCAAGCGGTCGACAAGAAGTCCGAGTCTTACCTCGCGTTCTCCATCACACAGGCTAACGCGAAGCGTCGCCCGCCGTGCGCGTCACATATCGCAGCCACGGCCTAGCGAGTGTTCTAGCAACATGTCCCTTGACTACGCGCAAGGATCGCGACCCATATCCAGTTGGGATTCTGTTGTTTTGGGGTGTGATTCTCAGTCCAAGTCGTGTGTCGCATATTGCTTGCCTTTCTGAGCAGGTGGAAGGGAGAGGTAAAGTGCAAGGTGCGCTAAAGTGAGTAGTTTGTTGGACACCCGGGCCCGGACTTCCGCGGAGGTCGTGGCTAAGTAAGTAATGCTAAATGGACGCCTAGTCCTTCGACAGCAAGGAAGTCTCCTTGAACCAACGTCAGACTTCTATGTATCTGTTCTCGTTTGCTCTGTAGGTTCTCATGTGGCATCAGACGACACACCTACGTATCATGATGGGACTGGCCTACCTGCAATGACGGGAGACCATGACCAAAGCTGGTGTGTGCTGCGACTTGATGGCTCTGCGCTCCCCTTTGCCGATGATATGATCGTCCCGCAGCGCTGAATCGCCCAGTTCATATGCTGGCAGGACATGAAGGCGAACGTGCTGAGCATCCTCGCCCACCTCAAGGCATTCGCGCATGCTGCCGACCTCGCTGTTGGGCGGCGTCAGTCGCGCCGGAGTGTGTGCACTACTGATTCCGGTGTGTGTACATCAATTCAATCTATTTGCAGCCCATCATCCGGTTAGTCGCATGGAGACAGCAGCAATGCACCGTACTCCTAGGCGACTCACTATCAATTACCGTGGCCACCTCCTCGGTTTCGTGAACCTTTGTAAGTCGCAGTAGCATTAAGTAACCATTCGAACTACAGCAATTACTAGTAGCCGACGGAAATCTACATACCACTACACGAGTTGCCAGTAATGACTGTGGGGGAAAGGGAGTCCTAATGCAAGGTCACCCCTTGTTTGTCTTCGTCTCCACTTTGTCCTGGGGCAGCTGGGAAGCCTCGAGGTTATATTGTCCGATCCGACAAAGCAGCGTAGAAGGTAGTTTTTTTTTCCGTACCCAGTTCAGTCCAAGATTTAAACTCCGAGTTGAGCAATGCTCAACTTCATCAGTTCGTTTGCCTGGTGGAATGCATTAGCTTATTACTAGTGTCAAAGGCGAGCTTGTCATCTCTCATACCATCTTCGAGTCTGTGTCGCTGATTAGCGAGGCTTGCTTCTCCAGCGGAGGATTCGAGCGTTAACCTTTCCTAACTTCGACTGCAATGATCCAATCCGCGCTTCACACGCAGACATAGAGGCCCGTGGGTCGTCAAAATCGTCACATGGCGTTGACCGAAGGGTCAGAAATGTAGCGATACATGCGTACTAGACATAATCGGCGGTGTAACAACCGTGTCGTGTCTATCTATATGCGTCTAGGATGATGTCTAATGATGTCGACGTGAGACTAGCCGGAACAGAACAAGATTGCCTTATCATAAGCCCAAATCAAGACGGAAGAAAGAACAAACAGCGAGCGTATAGCCAGCAGATCTCGAGGTGACTGTAGGCAGCCTAGACGTTATCGTCACCTTGAGTCGGCCGCGCTGACATGTCGCTAACATCCATCTCTTGTTCCTGCACCTTGTCCTTCCTCTCACCCTCGTCTCCTCCTTCATCCGCCACCTTCTCCTGTATCACGACGTCCTCGACGTCCTCGAGCGTCTTTGATTTCTGCAGCACCTCGTCCTCCGTCGTGCCCTCGATGTCGGGCTTGTAAAACACAAGCAGCCCGACAAACTCGACTCCAACGACGCCCAGGAGGAACCAGTATGCCGCGGCGCAGCCAGCGTACGAACTCGGCCCCCCGTGCGTGTCCTCCACGCTCGACTTGATAGACCCGACCGCAGAGATGCCGACCGCAGAACCAAGCTGGAGCGCCCCATTGAAGATCGCGCCCACCGTACCTGCCATCGAGGACGGGCTCGTGCGGAAGATAGCGATGCTGTGGGTAAGGACAGACATCAGCTCCCGCATTTGTGGAAGGAAGGACAAGCGGTCGACTTACTTCGTGTGGGTGTAGGCAAGCATCGCACCGGCAGAGCCAAGCACAAATGCGGGGAAGATGTACGGCCAGTAGCGCTCCGGACCGTCGGCGAACGCGAAGAGAATGGTGGCGACGATACAGAGGCCTTCTCCGAAGAGAATGATCCATTTTGAGTCGATCATGCGCGAGAGCGGGCCCGTGAAGCTCATAGTAAACGAGAGCACCCCAATAGGAATCCTATTCGGCACATGTAGTCAGTGTATGCTACAGTACGGAGTGCTGGTAAAGACTCACATATGAATGGCGGTAGAAATGGCGCTCCACTTCCACACATCCTGCCATACTGTCGTGTAAATTGTGAAAATCGTGGTCCACCAGAAGAATGGGAGGAGTGCCGTGAAAAACAAAACCAGGAAGTTTGGTAGGAACCATGTCCGGGGCGGTATCGCCGCACGGCCCGCGGGAATGGTCGTCTCGAAGTAGAAGAATCCCCCGACGAGAAAGACAGAGATGATCAATGGGACGAGGACGGCAGGGGAACCCCAGCCAGAGGTCGTCCCGGAAGTGACCCCGAAAATGAAGAGGATCAGCGCAACTGTGTAAGTATGGCGGGAACGTGGGCAGGAGCAGTAAGATTAGCGTTTGCCGTATCAGGAAAGTAAGACCAAGTGAAACTGGAAGGATACTTACTGGTGAGGATAGAAACACCAGCGATGTCGAGGCTCTTCCATCGGGCGCAATTCTGAATCGCAGCGTCGTCCAGGCGCGGCTCTTGCTTCGGTATGAGGAATATGCAGAGCGTGGCGATGGGCATGCACACGAGCGCGACGAACCAGAAGACCCAGGACCATGATGCAAACTGCACAAATATTGCCCCGATGATCAGACCAAGGACTACAGCAAGCCTCAAGAATCAGCATCTTCACTAGACAGAGAGAAGCACTATGATTCCCACCGTTACCGACAGCGCCGCACCCCCCAAAGACCCCGATGGCGCGCGCCTGCTCAGCAGGTTCCGTGAAAACGTTGACGAGTAGCGTCAGGGCAGAGGGGATGGTCATGGACGCCGCGATACCGCTCAGCGCCCGGAGGACAATCAGTGGAATTTTGCTTGAGACGAAGCCGGCGCCGATGGATATGATGCCGAGGCCAGAGACGCCGCCGATGAAAGCGAATTCTACGAGAACAGGGGCACGAACACGTGTCAGCACATGTTTGTACTGAACGAGCAGACGAGTCAGAAAAGGAGTAGGAGAACTGTACTCTCGAAATGGCTAAACGCATAGGTCTGCACTTCATGCTTGCACGCAGCATAATTTGAGACGAAATGCGGCACAACAAGCTTTCGTCGTCTCACAGACCATTCGGTAGCCTGCACTTCGGCCCGGCCACTTGCACAGTGAGTCAGGTCTGATAAGAAGGCTGAGCCGGCGAAGAGCTCGGTTGCAAACGCGGCATGCAAGCAGCCTTGACAAGCACGGCCCACTGCGAAGGCTCGCTGAAAGAGCAAAGCCTGTAGTATGCCGTCACGGCCTGGCGCCGCCCATGCCATCCCTACCTCATGTCTTTCGGTTCGTACCGAAGAACTACAGAAGACTTGGCGTGAGCGACTTACTCGGATTGTAAATATCACTGATTCGTCCGCTCTAGAAAAAAAGGCCTCGAGGTGAGCTACACGTTGTCTTTACGTCAAACCGGACGTTGATGACAGATTATTGCACTCACAATGAGAAGAAATGATGCGAAAGTCAGCTGGAACGCGCTGATAATCCACGTTGACTCGGACTCGTTCATGTCCAGCGATATGACAAGCGAAGGGATGGCCGAAAAGAGCGCCGAGTTATTGAACGCATCGAGAAATTGCGCAAGGCAGAATATGATGAGTAGGAGGTACCGACGCGCGACGGAGTACCTCTGCGGGATGCGACCGTCGACGAGGGTCTGTGCCGGTGAGAGCACGGTCGACGGGCCGGGCTTTGCGGTGGGCGGGGGCAGCATGTCTTCACTGTGGGTAGCGCTTCTAGATCCTTGAGGTCGAAAGAGGGGAAAGGGGCGGGGCGGAGTGAACTCGGAGGATGAGCTGGGGTAGAGGAGGGAGACCGCGCGCGTGAAGAATGCCCAGACACAGAGCCAGCGAGCGCAGAGGGCCCAAGGGGCCTTTGTCGTACAGGTCGTGGAGATCGCGCACAAAGAAAAGAAGACGTATGAGCGACCAGTTGAGTCTTATACCTTCCGGGCGCAATTACTGAACCCACCCGCACACACCGAGGCAATCACGGAGCGCGCTGCTTCGAGACCGTTCCGAGAAGGAGAAAGGGTCCATTGCCGATATTGTAAATTTTTCCATCCCAGACTATGCATGTGGGCCGCTGACGTTGGTCATTGGCCCGCGACGCAGTCACGAAGATTGGCCTGCATTCGGCGGGACGGTGCTGAGTGAGCAGGAGAAGGCATCCAAGAATGACTGCGCGCTTGCCTTTTACGTGTCGCGCGTGGCCGCCCAGACCTCCCGCGATCCAACCGGCACCTCTTCGGCAAAACCGAGTCGCCGTTGGCGAGTCTGACAACGAGCTCTTCGTCTTCGTCACTGCTGGTCGCTTGCACCTTGGTATCTCTACTGGGGATGAGGACGACATGACATATCGGCGGACTGGACGTACTCCGGAAGCTGGCGCTCTGCGGACCATTGGAAGAGGGTTGACCCTCACTCGATTGGAGTCATTTGCGCGCCCCGCAAGCAGTCGGTTCACCTCGCGCCCGCCACAACGCAGGCGACCGCGGAGCGTAGCTCACTGTATGCGTCAAATTCCAGTTACGGTCATGCGAGCGTTCTACGGTGAGAAACACGTTTCTTCACTACGCACAAGGACCGCGGCCTATATCCAGTTGTGATATTGTTATTTGGAGGTGTGCTTGCAGCCCAAGTCATGTGTCATGAGTGTTGCTTGCTTTCCGAGGAGATGGGAGATGGAGGTGATGTGCAAAGCGCGCCAATTGAGTAGTCTGTTGGACACCCGGGCCCGGACATCCGCGGAGGTCATGGCTAAGCGAATTACTACTGCTGGACGTTCCATGCACGTCTGGTTCCTCGACAGCGAGGCAATATCCACGAGTTAACATTTGATTTCGATGAATACGTTGTTGTTTGCTCATTGGGTTCCTGCGTTGCCCGTAAGTCAGATGAGCTAGTCGTCACGATACGTTCCTTCTAGTACGTGCTACCGCCACATACTCGGACGGTCCTCTATACACGTATGCTGCTTGAAATAACAGCTGGGCGAATTTAGAGCTGATTACGTGTCAATGTTAGGATGTTTGAAGAACCGTGTCAACGATCAATGCCCACACCCCGTCCACTAGACGTTATTATTCGATGCACACTCCGATATTTGCATCTCGCACAGGGACCTATGGTGCTCAGACCCATCAATCCCAATCTGTGCGACTTCACGCACGCCAATCTCCTCGACGACCTCAGCTCTCTTGTCCAAACGTTTTTGCGTCCTTCTCCGCGTACGCCTCCTCGACTGTTGAAAGCTTCTCTTACAGGATGGCAGTAGGTCCCTACTTTGCGTTCTCTTTGCTTATACGATAAAATACTAACATCGCGATAAACTGTAGCGCGCCGATCCCAAGGAGGAACCAGAACGATGCCGCGCGGCCGGCGTACCCAGCGTGCTTTTCCTCGATACTCGACTCGATGGAGCCAACTGTGGAGATACCGACTGCAGAGCCGAGCTGCAGGGCGCAGTTGACGATCGCCCCGACGGTACCGGCCATCGAGGCCGGGGTCGTGCGGAAGATCGCAATGCTATGAGCGTGGGTGAGTACGAAGGACAGTTGACACGTCCGTGGACGGGGTACTCACTTGGTGTGCGTGTAGACGAACATAGCACCTGCTGAGCCGAGGATGAAGCCGGGGAACATGTACGGCCAGTAGCGCGTTGGGCGGTCGGCGAACGCCAAGAGAATCGTCGAGACTATGCAGAGGGCCTCGCCGAAGAGGAGGAGCCACTTCGGGTTAATCTTGTGCGAGAGCGGGCCCGTCAAGCTGACAGGGAAGGAGCTGACGCCGATTGGGAGCCTAGAGCGACGTCGGTGAGTGAGGACATCGCGTCATTGATGATTGACATATATATGCACCGCAGTCATGATAGCGCTCCAGCCCCAGACGCTCTGCCAGAGGTTCGTATAGATCGTGAACACAGTCCCCCACCAGAAGAAAGGGAAAAGAGCGGTCCCGAACAGGACGGAGAAGTTCGGGAGGAACCATGTCCTAGGTGGGATCGCTGCCCGGTCGGCCGGAATTCGAGTTTCATAGTAGAAGAAGCCGGCAATCATGAACACGGAGATAATGAGTGAAGCAATGACGCGACTCGAGCCCCAGCCGGTGGTTGCGGCAGAAGTGACTGCGAAAATGAAGAGGATGAGGGCGACTGCAAGGTGAAGGCCGTGAGTGTTCTGTTCACGAGCAAACCGGAGGCGCGATACTTACCTGTGAGGGTAGTAACGCCGAATAAATCCAAGCTCTTCCATTTCGCTCCTCCACCCTTGACCTCCTTAGGCTCTTGCTTGGGTATCAGGAAGACTGACAACCCAACGATCGGGACGCAGACGATGGCTACGAACCAGAACACCCATGGCCACGAGGCATATTGCACGAAGATGGCGCCGATCACGAGCCCGAGGACTACGGACTGGTCAGTTTCTTCGCGTTCTGCAACACGCATATGCGAGTGCTCACCGATTCCGACCGCGCCGCAGCCGCCAGACACGCCAAGAGCACGAGATTGTTCGTTAGGCTCTGGGAAGATGCCGACGAGCAGGGTCACCGCGGAGGGGATAGCCATCGCAGCGGCTACGCCAGTCAGTGCTCGGAGGACGAAGAGCGGGATTTTGCTCGAGACGAATCCGGAGCCCAGAGAGAAGATGGCAAGGACGAAGACACCGCCGATGAATGCGAATTCTGACAGGGTCAGACACTGTACCTCGCGCGCCTTGAGGTGAGAGCACAAAACGTACTAGGGTTGTAGACGTCGCTGATCCGTCCGCTCTATAGAGTAGAGTGAGGTCCATATATGCGTCCTTTTATTCAGTGAACACGACGGCTTACAATGAGGAGGAACGACGCAAAGGTGAGTTGGCATGCGCTGATGATCCACGTCGACTCCCCTTCCGCAATTTCCATTGACTTCGCCATTGCAGGTATTGCGGAGTAAAGCGAAGTAACGTTGAAGGTATCGAGAAACTGCGCCAAGCAGAATATGACAAGCAAGGTATACCGACGCGCTGGTGAGTACGCGTTTACTGCAGGGCCTTCTTTTGTCTCGTGGATGAGCGTCGGTGCTGGTGAGGGACATCTTGAGGGGACAGCGGGGGTTTGGGAGTCTTGGCAGTCAGCCATGTCGTCGCTCTGTTGTAGGCACTGTCTTAAGTGCAGCGCTAGGTGGTAAATACAAAAACGAAATCTTGATCAGCCACTGAACGATTCACGGTGCTGGACAAGGGCAGTGCACAAGGTCGAATGGGGGATGAAGGATGCAAAATCCGAGCCTAGACCACAGTGCTGCTGCACGAGCCGAATGGGGTTTTTTGGAACGGAAAAACGAAGAGGGGTGCGCTGATGACCTCTATATACCAGTCTCATTTTGCGAACAATGATATCGGTTGTGTCGGTCAGATAGCAAGCGCGCGCTGACTGAGCTTGCTGAATCATAAAGCTACCCGGGGGCTCTACTAAGGATGGTTGCTTAGCAAGCCATGAAGCAATGGAGGGAGGCCTATGATTTACAGTAACTACCAGGGTGTATTTGCGTAGCTATTAATCTGGGGCGATTTGCTCGTTCATTGGCGGAGAACATGCGGATCGCTCAGCCCGCTGCGATAATTATCCCTGCAAATTTACCACATTACCCACTTCCCTTGCGCATCTACTCCGGGGCGCGGTGACTTTGAGTCAACACAACGAAGTTGTCTGCAATTTGGCAAATTCCACAACACGTCTTCAACTTGAGATCATGGACGATGCCCGTCTTGTCGATAAAAGATTTCCTTCCTTCACCTCCTTCATATAAGCTACAGTAGTGGTAGTTGGCTAGTGCCCCCCCCCTCCTTAACGTTTTGGCCACAAACCTCTTATAGCCACGAGGCAGTTGACGAACACTACGTTGCTCATTCCTTGACCAATGCAACTTGGCAAGCACTTAGCCATCCGATCCCGATAACTAGGCTATAGCATGAATATGAATCGCAGATCAGCTCTCTGATAAATGCTATTTTTGAGCTCCGTCGAATACCCTATCCGGGATGTATCTGACTCAGCCGTGGCTGACTGAGCAATGTTGTCCAAGACCGCAGGTTGTTGTGCTGTGAGTTGTCTTCCGAGATTCACTAGTCTTGCTCATATCGAGAATACTGAAGCGATTCGAAGAAATTCAATCGCAACTATAACGCACCACGGTACGTAGCACAACAATCCACCACTGAATCTCTCGTACATGCAAGCTTTCTATTCAGGCTCGAATATGTCTCTGCCCGAGTACCGTGATAAGGTTGCGTGCCAGAGGGACCTTGTAATCGAGCCTCCGTCGGACGGGGCTGAACACGCGGTAGAGAGGGACTTGGTGTCACCGTGTCTGACAGCGATAGTGTGGATATAGCTTGGAGTGTCTGAGGTGTTGACTGCGAATCTCTCATCCCGCGGCGCGTGTGGAGAGGCATGGGTAGAGCATCTTATACGATGCGTTTCCTGAGCCAGGACGACCTATTCTTTAACTATGCGGAAGGTAAGCCATAAGATGCATGAGACGCATAGTCTAGTGGGACTGCAACGGTTTGCTTACCGGGATCCGGGATCGCAGTTGTAAGCCCAGATTCGGACAACTCGATTCACACAAACTTGTCGCTTGGACGATGTATACGCTTCAGTCTCTACTGTCCTGCCGATATCCGGTTCTCTGTGAAGACGTACAAGCCTAGGGATTAGAGTGCCGTGGACGCTTCCGTATTCTACGAACGTGCTATGTGATGGAGGCGGCACAGGCAGAGCACATCAATGACCCATCTATGGTCAGACTTCGAGCGCTACTGGAATCTCACGTCGACTCATCAGATCATCAGAGCTCGATTCGGAAGGGCTAGCTTGCTTCCAAAGCAACGACGGAAGCCAAGCTCTCGTAAGGGTATTCGTCTCTGGAGGGAGCTCTCTTGTGATGCTGAGATCGGGGCTTTGTGTCCTGTGGGTACTGAATTGTCTATATGGAGGATGAATTTGGTGACTCGTTAGTGTATGCTTGATGAGACCTATTTGAGTGGGGAGGGTCATCTCCATCAGCATTTACATTTGGCTAGGCCACCATCTCGTCCTACTCCATTCTTGGTGATGGGAACGGACCCTAACATAACGTACGGTACTTAAGGCGTGGACGTCGACTCCTTTTTCACCCCAGAAATCAAGCTATCATACAACGTCTCTCATCCTCCAGCAGTCCACAGTCGAAATGGCATCCGATACGCTCATCCCAGTCTTCTACCGTATTGTGTTCACCATCATCGACCCCTTCTTTTGCGCCCTCGGCATCGCCATGCACCTCTTCACCAAAACCGATGTCCTCGCCGCCCTCTCCCCCGCTGCGGTCGTGCCTGTTGAAATCCTGGCGTCAAGATGGCGAGCTCGCGGAACGAGCGCCACAGGTCCTGCCCCCCGATGGATACCCGCGCCCTTATATACCCCTATTTAGCTACGTATATAAGCCTTATTGTATCTACTGTGTACGGCACGCATTTGCACCTGCCAAACGCGAATCCCATTTGTGCCCGCTTGCCCTCGAACTTCTTCAGTGCCCCCCGGCTCCGAGACCGTGCTCCTTCTCGACTACCTCGTCGGCTTCTTCGCGATGCTCGGCGTTCTCCAGGTCAGCCTGCTGCGTGCGCGCCCGGCTTACATGTACGTGTGGAAGGCTCTGCAGTTCGCCACGCTGGTGCTCGACGTCGTCCAGGTCGCCGCGACGGCACGCGCGCTGCTTGTGCAGGGCCGGACGGAACCGAGCGCGTGGCTGGGCGGAGGAAGGCAGAACTTTGCGGGGAATGCGGTGTTCGGGCTGATCAGTGCTCGGGATAGGGCTGGACGAGACGAAGACGAAGACGAACTGAGTAACTCTGCCATCGTGGCTGCAGGCGTTACACCTATGTGAGTGCTTATACGCGTGCCCTTCTGTACGCTTATATTCATGAGCCGTGAACTGGCATCAAGCTAAGGGGTTGTGTAGGCTATGTGAGGCTCTACGACCTTTCCGCTTGAGAGTGCAAGTTCTGTAAGATACGGCTCTACGTACGCAGGCCATGCAAGGCAGCAGCGATGATCATGACGCAGCATATCATAGTGACCCTTTGCCTCTTACGCGCCTTGCGGTCTGCCACACGGCGCTTCATCACGTGACCGTGTACCTCGGAAGACGCAAGAAATATCAAACGACGATCAGACTGCTTAGAATCCTCTGCCGCCGCCTGGAGGGGTGTCACCCGGATGGGTCTGTGTGGGGTAGAGCAGCTAAGCATTAGGATGGGACTTGATGCACGCGCTTTACGGGCAGCTATGGGAAGTTCTTCTGCGCAACGCGTTATCTCACTTGCCGTGCGAGGTGGTAGGCAACTTAGTGAGCTCAGCAATCAATGAAGTCGCAGCACGCAGGCAGCGACGAGAAGGGAGAGCACAAGACCAGTAGAGCACATCATGCAAAGCTAGTATTACACGTATGGCTATAAGGATCTCTGGATCGCTCCCTACTCGGAACCCTCTTCTCCTTACGTACCTGGACACCTATGCGGAGTTCCACAGTACTTGCCTCCTGACCTCGGTATAGGTATGTTCGTATTGTAGCCTCACATGTAGAGTTCCTCCTGACCTCGGTATAGAGATCGTTCTGATTTAGGTTTCCTGGCACTAGCGAGGAGTTTCAGAGAGCCTCCTTTCAATGACGTCGTATATGGTAATGTCAAGTATCGTTTGTTATCATAACTGCGCGGCATTATTACCTTCCCTTCTTTCGTCCACCTTCGCGACTTCGCCGCTCGGCGCGTGGTGATCACAGCAGATATTACTGCAAGCGCACCGTATCGCAGCCCCATCGCAGCGTTTACCTCGCGGCAGGGAAAATACGGGTAAGCTTGGCGAGTGCGCACGCATCGAGTCCTCACGGGCCCATCGACCCGTAAGTAAGGCCAATTTCCGAGATCACGTCGACTCCATGATCCCACCGGCTCTTCACCTCATCACACCATCGACTTCTCCACCTTGCTGTTCTCGCGCGCGCTGACCGCCATCGCCTTCATCTCGTCCTTCTGCTTCACGACCTTCATCGTGTCCTCGACGCCCTCGAGCCCGTGGCCCATGATCTCCTCGAACCGCCGCCGGTAGCGCGCGATCATCGCCTCGTGCTCCGGCCCGACCGCCGGCCCCGCGAGGTGGCCATGGTCGAGCACGAACGCCTGCAGGTCGCGGATATACGACTCGAGCTCGCGCGCGCGGATCGTCGACGCCTCGGGCTCGTTCGACCCGCGCGCCTTGGCGAGGTACGACGCCGCGAGTGTCGACATGCCGCCGAGGATCGACGTCGCGATCGACGTCTGCGGCGCGAGGGTGGATGCAAGTCGGGAGGTGGACGAGGGGATGGTGAGTACGTGGCCTCATGGCGATCGAGAGGGTGCGCGTGCTTACCTGCTTTCCGGAAGTGGCGGCGGCGACTCCGGTCGTGAGCGCGCCCAGGACCACCTGTGCGCCGATCGCACAATTCAGCGCCCACCCGTGTAATTTGGCTGCGAACGAGGACGGGGACGGCGTCGGGGGGTCAGCATCGTATCCCGACACCTACACACAGAAGATGACGAAGGGAGAGACTCACCAGTTCGCCTCGCGCTCACCATCTCCTTCTCCGCAGCGTCGAGCGTGGGCTGCATCCGCTGCTCCACACTCTTCTCCCCGCCCGCGTTCGAGCCCGTGAGCGTCGCGGCCATCGACATGCTCCGCCTGTGCGCCCCGTTGCCATTCCCCTGGTACCCGCTGCCGCGCCGGCTACCATACGACGCCCCCGACCCGGCATTCACGCCCCCAGGCATCCCCTGCATACCCATCCCTCCGTTGTTGCCGCCGTCGCCGCCGTTCGAGTACGGCACATATGGCACCGCATAGTCGAGCTCAGAGCGGGGCGACATCAGGCCACCGTCAGCAGTCATAGCGATGTCGCCGCTGCCGGAGATGACAGCGGGCGGGGGCATCGGGAGGTTCTTCCCGGCGATGGGGAGGACGGGATACCGCTCGCTCGCGCGCATGGGCTGGTCGCTATAGGAGACCGCACGCGATGACGTGCGGCGATTCGGGCTCGAGCGTTGTCCTCCGTTCCCGCCTTGATTCGAGGGGTTATAACCACCGCCGTTCTGGACGCCGTAGCCCGCGCCAATGCCTGCGGTGTTCCCGCTGCTGCTAAGCGCGCGCGCATGCGGGGCAGGAACCGAGCTCGGGAGCGCGTTCGGGGGCGTCTGCGCTGCGGGGTAGGGTTGGTACTGCGTTTGGGCCGGAACGGTGGGTCCGGACGACCCCGTGAATGTTGCGGCTCCGTGTCCGTCGTCGTGCTCCTCTGCCGACTCCTGGATGGACCCGTGGGCCGGTGGCCTGGACGGACCAGCGATTGCTGCAGCCGAGGCGTGGAAGTAGCCTTGGGTCTGTTGCGACGGCAAAGCTGACGGGGAGACTGGTGTGGCTGTGGCGGGGCCTGGTGTGGGCGCACTAGCGTTGGCACTATTGGGAGGTGCGGACGCGGAGTTGGTACTGTGAACAGAGCGCGTGCTCGCGCTCGCGTTGTCCTGCGAGCTCGGGGTCTGCGGCGCGGATGATGGCCGGTGCATTCCAGACGCGATTGGCTGCTGCTGCTCGTTGTGCGGGAGTGGCGCAGACATCGAGAGGGGTGAGGTGTTGATCTGAGAGGTGGATGGTATTGGCCCAGGTTTACTCGACCACACGATGCTCGGTGCGTTTGCGGGGCGTTGCGCTTGTGGTGGCTGCTGCACGATGGGATACGCGTGGCTAGGGTGCGGAGTGCTGCCAGAGACAAGATGGATAGCTGCAGCCTGGTCGTGGTCGTGGCTCTGAGGAAGCGAAGGAGAGCCCGGCGTAGGCAAGCCAAGTGAACTCGACCCGTGTTGGGCGGACTCAATAGCCGGTTGCGTAGGCGCGGTTGTTGTCGGTGCAGATGAAGAGTCGGCGATGGAGGCCGGCCGCTGGGTCGCTGGTTCTTGGCCATTGCTGTTTTGAGGGACGCTCGCCATGATGAATCAACCTAAGCGTCGTGTGCAGGCGGCAGCAGCGCGGGAGAGGAGACGTCTGTTGCGTGCATGAAAGCAGATTGCGGCCATATAAGCAGATCCTGAACAGAGAGTGGAGATATGCCGCTGCGGCTGCATTGTCTTCTGGATGCGGAGCAGACAGAAGGAGCTGCGATGCTCCGAGACCCGCGATAGAGGCTCACGCTGCCACAGCAAGGGTCGAGCATCGAAATCCCAGGCTGGGAGCAGCAGGGTGGCCAGCGCTCGGTGTGCTTCCATGAAGCCACGGACACGATCTCAGATCTGCGACGTCCTACGCCACATACGGACGCCTCTTCGATGCAGTGCGCCGCACCTGCCCTCCCTCTCTCACTCGCTTCTCGTTCTACCATCATTGGATCTGCTGCCTGCTCTCGCACAGACGTGCTCCCGAGTTCGAGTAGAGGAAGAGGACTTCCTGTCGGCTCCGGCTGCTCTTTCGCAGGCCCATCTGACGGCTCTTCTCATGCCGGCATGAGCGTAAAATACCTCCCAGAAGCTCTAGCACGAACTCAATCTCTTCATTGTCCGGCCTCTCAGGGTGTCCATCTTTCAAGTGTCTTTCGCCGATCCAACCGAAGTCCCGGCGCACGATAGACGTCCCGCCGACGTTCTCGGCCCCTATGCACGTATATCCCCCGGCCCGTACGGTCTCGGTCGAGTCTATCTGAACGCGGTCCCGCGGCCCCACTTGGTGTGCAATCGTGGAGAGGCCCACGTCGCGCGTCGACTCGGAGAATCGACGTTCGCTCCTCGATTCACGTCGTCCTCCGATGGCGAAATGGCCTCGCGCCTGCATACGTCCGTCTCTACTCGCACCGCCGTATGTTCTGTGCGATGTGCAGCGTGAGCCACGATAGATGGGTACGAAATCCTGTCGGGCGTCGACTGATCGGTAAGGTCTTCCAAGATTTGTCGCACCATCCGATAGCTAGAGTTGTGTCATATCAGACAGGTTGTCTTCGCGCATCGCCCATGTGGACTCACAAACGCGAGCGATATGAATTGTCTGCGCTGGCGGCGCCCGTTCGGAGGATAGAAAAGGGCGGAAATGCATGAGCTCAGTTTTGTGTTTATGATGCTGCGGTCGGCGCGAGCCCGTGGACGAACGTTGCTCTTACGAAATTGGCTGGTATGTCGCTGCTTTAGGGATACATCCCCGACTCATTCTAACGCTTCGCTGTCAGTCCCTTTGATTAGCGTCACTAGCACTAACTTTGTCTCCAGGTACATCGTATCGTCGCGGCCAGTCGCCATCGGTAATACGAATCTCTTTGTCGTGCGAGACAGGACACTCGAATTCGGTTTTCACCAGCACCAGGCTCTCGGCGAAACACGACGTCGCGTCCACTGTGGAGGGATGTACAGCTTCTCGCAAATCTGCCGCACTTCCCGCGATAGTCAACGCCTGTCCAACAGCGCCACTCATGTCGTCGGCCTCCGGCCGCGCTTCCTGACGGGCGTCGAGGCTCCCGTCTGTAGCTCACAGACGGTGTAGCTAGTGCCGCCATCGACGGTGGCAGAGTCGTTCAAGGTGCGCGCAGCAAGTCACCTATGTGGAGAAGGTTAGTGCGCTCCGTGCCGTCGACAGCGCTGCGCTGCCAGTAGATCCCTGCTCCGTTTCCTTGTACGGACGACTGCGTCTGAGAGGGGCTTTCCGGGCTGGCCGCAACTGTGTCATGTCGTGCGTATGGAGGGAAGACTAGGCCTCTAGCGCAGACTGTCGACAGCACCACTCCTCGTCCATGCTGTTGTGGGGTACTATGAGGTGCGTCTGGCGTAGGCACAACCAAGTGTAACCACACTGTACGATCGTTGTTCTCAGCCTTTTCGATTCTGGACGCAGGTTCCGTGAGGGGCTCTCAGTAACGCGCCGACGCTGGGAGGATGGTGTGCGTCACCCTGTCGATCGCGCCCTCTTCGCGAAACTTGTCCAGAAGACGATGTGTGGACTCCCTCTGGTACTCCTTCTCATTGGCCAGACCTGGGACATCCCTGCCGCTTTGGGGCCAACACCGGGATTGGCGTCGTCTGTGCGCACATATGTAGCCAGCTAGGTTGGATGGGATATTCCTCGTTTTTCTTCTCTCCTCTCAGACCCTCCTCGAGCGCGCTCTCGCTCTGCCAGTGTCCAAGAGACACGTCGCTGCAAGACGATGAAGCCGAGAATGCGTCCGCGATTCGACAGTGCGGTACGTAAAATTGATAAGCTTTTGGTAGTGAGCGCACCTTTGGAATCAGCAGATGCTGCGGGCTGCTCCGACGCGACGCGAGTAGCAGCCTGTGTACGGACCGCTACTCGCTCCGCTGTTGCTATGTTCTCGTGATAGACGTGGTCCTCTCTGTGAGAGGGGGGTAGCGCATATCATGACCCTTTGACTACTTGAAAGCCCTCTCCCCGCGTGGATGTCTGGAAGAGCTGACGGAGCCTGACCATGAGTAGGCGTGGATAGGTCAGACGGGTAGAACGGTCGGAGCTCTCTGTCGCTGGCAAGGAGGCCCGGGCAGTACAGAGCGTCTGGTTATTCTGGGGTCCATGCCTGAAGCAAAGCATCGGACGGACGTCGTGCGCGGTGCCTCACATCGCGGATGTGCTCGTTATGCACTGTGCCTGGGCTGTCGGAAGTAATGAAGCCTCTGGGCAGGTACATGAACGCTATGTGTCGACCATTCATAGCACTCGGAGAGGTCTTCGCCGAGAGTGTTCGGTTGCGCGTCCAGTGTGGTGTACAGCGCTTTACCGTGCGTTTCAGCACTCTAGCGACGGCATGGGCGATGGTGTAGATCGATGTACTATGGAGCGTCGTGGTCCGAAATTGACGCTATGCTTGGAAGTTCGCGGGTCTTGTAAGCGTTAGGTGTGTGGTATATTTCCTTGAGCGTTCGGGGCTGTCGCCCATGGTGGAAGTCAGTGGGGGCGACAAACGCAATAGTGGAGACTATGAGGCGATTTGACCTCATCGGGCAGGGCACCCCACCTTGCGAGAACGACGAATTGAGGACTCATAGCAGCGGGACTGGCAATGAACGTGCTCCAAATGAGCTGGCTTGCTGTACCTATACACTTTCGTCAACGCGCTCCTGTGAAGAGATACCGGGAGATGCTATCATGGAGCGGTCTGGATCCTCTTGACTGCGGGCGTTCAGTAGCAGCCGGTCGAGGAGGCATTTCTGAATGGTGAAAGCGCTTATCTCCGGATTCTGATCGAGATGGATCTGGATACACGTGACGACAGAGTGCGTTTTCTGAGGAGCAGCGAGACGCTGGTTCTTTTTCTCTTCCTCTTCACTCGACTCGATTCTCCCAACGGGCGAGCGAAGAGGAAGAGACCAGCATCATCATACGAAACCCCACGACCACGATTCCAATCCATTCTTTTATCAAAAATGGCTCTGTCCAACCCCGCTCTCAAGGCAAACGTCGTGCGGCCCGTCCTCGCTCGTTCGGCCACAAACTACAACAACGGCTATCCGGCGGCCCCCATTGCTGCAACGTCGGTACATGATGAGAGCCAGCTGGTAGATGCTGTGCTCGAGCTCGCTGATGGAACCGTGTTCCGTGGGATCAGCTTCGGCGCAGAGGGCAAGAGCGTCGCTGGAGAGTGTGTCTTCCAGACCGGTCCGCTCCATCTCTCGCTCCCCTGCTTGGCCCAGCTCACTCTTGCGCCGCACAGGTATGGTTGGATACACCGAGTCTCTCACAGATCCCTCGTACGCAGGTCAGATTCTCATTTTGACGTACCCCCTCATTGGAAACTACGGAGTACCCCCTCGCCCCAAGGAGGCTTTGGTGGACGATATTCCACAAGAATTCGAGTCCTCACGTGTTCATGTCGCTGCGCTTGTGGTCGGCTCGTACTCTGAGGACTACAGCCACTTCCTGGCAGGCTCCTCTCTAGGACAATGGCTCAAGGAGAGCGGCGTCCCCGCCATCTTCGGCGTCGACACGCGCGCGCTGACGAAAAGGATCCGGGAGAAGGGATCCATGCTTGGGAAGATCCTGGCGAGGAGAGCAGACGCTCGTGCCTCGCTGACGTCGTCATCGTCTGTGCCCTTGTCTCGCGCTCCGTCCCCGCCGGCAGGTACTCCCGCTGCCTCCGCGCGTTGGCGCGAGGATTATGTCGACATCCCGTTCTCGGACCCAAATCAAGAAAATCTCGTCGCTGCTGTGTCGACGAAGACCCCGCGGCTCTTCAAGCCTGTGACAGAACCCAAAATGCACCCGACGGGGTCGCGCCCGCTCCGCGTCCTCGCGGTCGACGTCGGTATGAAGTTCAACCAGATCCGCTGCTTCACGCACCGCGGTGTGGAGCTCAAGGTTGTACCTTGGGACTACGACTACCTCGCGGACAGTGAGGAGCCGTTCGACGGCTTGTTTATCTCGAACGGTCCCGGCGACCCTACGATGGTCGCTCCCGCGATCGCACGCCTCGCGCGCGCAATGGAAAAGGCCGACAGGCCGATCTTCGGCATTTGTCTGGGCCACCAACTACTTGCCCTTGCGGCGGGTGCAAAGACGTCGAAGATGAAGTATGGCAACCGCGGGCACAACATCCCCTGCACGGACGCGCTCAGCGGGCGATGCTACATCACGAGCCAGAACCACGGATATCAGGTCGAGGCAGCGTCGCTGCCCGAGGGGTGGCGGGAGCTGTTCCAGAACGCGAACGACGGCAGCAACGAGGGCATCTACTGTGTCGACAAGCCGTTCTTCTCCGTTCAGTTCCACCCCGAGTCCACTCCCGGGCCGCGTGACACTGAGTTCCTGTTCGAGGTGTTCATCCAGAACATCATTGATTGTGCAACCACTGGCGCTCTCGTGCCCATCTCGATGCCGGGGGGCAGCAAGGAGCAGAACGAGGCGCGGGTGCCTCGCGCGGACGTGCAGAAGGTGCTCATCCTCGGTTCTGGAGGCCTCTCTATCGGCCAGGCAGGGGAGTTCGACTACTCGGGCTCGCAGGCAATCAAGGCGCTCAAGGAGGAGGGCATCTACACCATCCTCGTGAACCCGAACATTGCGACGATCGCAACGTCTCGCGGGCTTGCGGACAAGGTGTACTTCTTGCCCGTCACCCCGGAGTTCGTGCGCAAGATCATCAAGTACGAACAGCCCGACGGGATCTACGTCACGTTTGGCGGGCAGACCGCGCTCAACGTCGGCATCAAGCTCAAGGACGAGTTCGAGAGCTTGGGGTGCAAAGTCCTGGGCACGCCGATCGACACGATCATCATGACTGAGGACCGACAGCTGTTCGCAAGCGCGATGGAGGAGATCGGGGAGCGGTGTGCGCAGTCGAGCACGGCAACGACGGTCGAGGAGGCGATCGCTGCTGCGAACACGATCGGGTACCCGGTCATCGTGCGCGCGGCGTACGCACTGGGCGGGCTTGGGTCGGGCTTCGCGCAGAACGAGCAGCAGCTGAAGGCGCTGTGCAGCAAAGCGTTCGCGACGAGTCCGCAGGTGCTGGTGGAGAAGAGCATGAAGGGCTGGAAGGAGATCGAGTATGAGGTCGTGCGCGACTGCCGCGACAACTGCATTACCGTGTGTAATATGGAGGTACGTGTCGTCTTGGGCGATCACATATAACTTCTCTTCCCTTCTTCGTGCTTGCTGACCTCCAGTGGATCTTGCGGTACAGAACTTCGATCCGCTTGGGATCCACACTGGGGATTCCATCGTAGTGGCGCCTTCGCAGACGCTGTCGGACGCCGACTACAACATGCTCCGGACGACCGCCATCAACGTTATTCGGCACCTAGGCGTCGTGGGCGAATGTAACATTCAATACGCCTTGAACCCGACGTCTCGCGAGTACTGCATCATCGAGGTAAATCTCCCCCTAGTTCCCGTCGCATCTGCCATTAATCTGGCATCGTTTCGTTCAACTAGGTCAACGCCCGTCTGTCGCGCTCATCCGCGCTGGCGTCTAAGGCGACGGGGTACCCGCTGGCGTTCATCGCGGCCAAGCTCGGGCTCGGGATCCCGCTGAACGAAATCAAGAACTCGGTGACGAAGGTGACGTCGGCGTGCTTCGAGCCGAGCTTGGACTACGTTGTGGTGAAGATCCCGCGGTGGGACCTGAAGAAGTTCAGCCGGGTGAGCCGGCTGCTGAGCAGCAGCATGAAGAGCGTGGGCGAGGTGATGAGCATCGGGAGGTCGTTCCAGGAGACGATACAGAAGGCGATCCGGGCTATTGATGACCAATTCTCCGGGTTTGCGAAGGTTGGTTTCGAGCACTTCTTGTCCTTGTCTCGCGTCGTGCTGAAGGATTACATCATATAGAATGACTTCGTGGAGGATATCGACGAGGAGCTGATGAACCCGACGGATAAGCGCATCTTTGCTATCGCGACGGCCTTCCATCGTGGATACAGCGTCGAGAAGATCTGGCAGATGACGAACATCGACAAGTGGTTCCTGACCAAGTTGCAGTCAATCCACAAGATGGAACAGCATCTCTAGTGAGTTTTCCGCTTATATCATAATGAACAGATATTCTAAGCGGCGATAATTTCAGCCAAACCAGCATCAACTCCGTTGACGAGGATATACTTCGTCAAGCGAAGCAGCTTGGGTTCTCTGACCGCCAGATCGCTACCTGCATGGGTACGACGGAGCTCGCTGTCCGTCGTCTGCGTCAGGAGCACGGTGTTGCGCCTTTCGTCAAGCAGATCGATACCGTTGCAGCGGAGTTCCCCGCATTCACGAATTACCTGTACACTACGTACAACGCCGTCGAGCACGACATCACCTTCGACGACTGCGGTGTCATGGTCCTCGGCTCCGGTGTGTACCGCATCGGTTCGTCTGTCGAGTTTGACTGGTGCGCCGTCCGTGCCATCCGTACGCTTCGGGATCAGGACCTCCCGACAGTCATGGTCAACTATAACCCGGAGACCGTTAGTACGGACTACGACGAGGCCGACCGGTTGTACTTCGAGAACATCAGCTTGGAGACGATCCTCGACATATACGATACCGAGCGCTCTCGGGGAGTCATCATCTCTATGGGTGGCCAGACGCCGAACAACATCGCGCTCCCGCTCTATCGTCAGAACGTCAAGATATACGGCACGTCTCCCGAAATGATCGACACGGCGGAGAACCGATTCAAGTTCTCCCGCCTCCTGGACGAGATCGGCGTGGACCAGCCGCTCTGGAAGGAGCTGTCGAGCTTTGGGGAGGCGCATGCGTTCTGCGAGAAGGTTGGGTACCCGGTGCTTGTTCGACCATCTTACGTGCTCTCCGGTGCTGCGATGAACGTCGTCTTCAGCCAAGACGACCTCAGCAGCTACCTCTCTCAGGCCACTGCTGTTTCTCGCGAGCACCCGGTCGTCATCACGAAGTACATCGAGGGCGCAAAGGAGATCGAGATGGATGCGGTCGCGAAGGACGGAAAGGTCATCATGCATTACATCTCAGAGCACGTCGAGAACGCTGGCGTCCATTCGGGCGACGCCACCCTTATCCACCCGCCTCAAGATCTTGATCCCGAAACGGTCCGCCGCATTGAGGACGCGACGTACAAGATCGGTAATGCGCTTAACGTCACGGGTCCGTTCAACATCCAGTTTATTGCAAAGAACAACGAGATCAAGGTCATCGAGTGCAACCTCCGAGCGGCGCGCTCGTTCCCTTTCGTCTCGAAGGTCACCGGCATCGACGCGATTGAGATGGCGACGAAGGTCATGTTGAGCATTCCCGTGGAGCCGTACCCCCACGTCCCTCTTCCCCCGGATTACGTTGGTGTCAAGGTTCCGCAGTTCAGCTTCAGTCGTCTTTCCGGCGCCGATCCTGTCTTGGGTGTTGAGATGGCGTCGACGGGAGAGGTGGCCTGCTTCGGGAGAGACAAGTACGAGGCCTATCTCAAGGCGCTCATCTCCACGGGTATCGTCTTGCCGAAGAAGAATATCCTGTTCTCCATTGGCAGCTTCAAGGAGAAGCTCGAGATCTTGCCTGCTGTTCAGAAGTTGCATGCTGCTGGCTACAACCTCTTTGGTACGTCGGGTACGGCAGACTTCTTCACCGAACACAACGTTCCGTGCAAGGTGAGCGCAACGAGATGGTTCATAAGCGATAGCCTATATAACCCTCCGCTCTCCAGTATCTGGAGATCCTGAACGAGGACAGCGATCAGAAGTCCGAGTACTCCCTCACGCAACATCTCGCCAACAACCTCATCGACATGTACATCAACTTGCCGTCGAAGAACCACTACAGGCGCCCTGCGAGCTATGCTAGCAAGGGTTATCGTACCCGTCGTATGGCTGTCGACTTTGCTGTTCCCCTTATCACTAACGTCAAGATCGCGAAGCTGCTCTTTGAGGCACTTGTTCGTAAGATGCCTCTTGAGGTCTCGCCGGTCGATTTCAAGACCTCCCACGACACGCACACCTTCCCTGGTCTGGTCAACATCGCCAGCTTTGTCCCTGATCTCACTATGGCGGGTGAAGACTTTGCCAACGCGACGAAGGCCTCTATCAGCGGAGGCTTCGTCACTTCGCTCATTCTCCCTGTCGGTCTCGAGACGAGGATCACGGATAGGGCGAGTCTCGATAAGGCAGCCAGCAATATAGCTGGCTCGGCATACTGCAACTATGCGATGAGCATCACCGCGACCCCTGCCAATGCCGGCGCACTGGATGACGAACTTGAAGCCGACGTCAAGTCGCTCTTCCTACGCTTCCGGTACGGAGAGCCAGACAGCCAGATCACCGCCGCGGCCACCCACTTTGCGACGTGGCCGTTCGAGAAGCCTATAGTCACCGACGCGCGTGGTGCTAATCTCGCTCCGATCCTCCTCTTGGCCGACCTTCATAACAAGTCCCTTCACGTGACGAATGTGCAAACCAAAGAAGACATGTTGCTGATCTCGCTCAGCAAGGGCAAGAAGCTGAACGTCACCTGCGACGTTTCTGTGTACGCCCTGTTCTTCACGAGGGAGCAGTTCCCTGGGGTGACCTGCCTACCCACCGCCGAGGATCAACAGTACCTCTGGAACAACCTCGAGTCCATTGACGTCTTCTCTGTCGGCCGTGTTCCCTATGAGCTTGCAACTCAGCTCGGGAAGGAAGCCTCTGCGACATCGGGTATTGAGGAGACGCTTCCGTTGCTCCTTGGGGCGGTCGCGTCAGGTCGCCTTACCCTTGATGATATCTGTATACGACTGCACGATAACCCTCTTCGCATCTTCGCCCTTCCTGACCAAAGCCACGCCAACGTTGAAATTGTCGTCGGTCGTAAGTACCAGTTCCACAGGCGTTCGCATGCGTGGTCTCCACTCGAAGGCACCGTCGTCAACGGTTCCGTCCATCGCGTTCAGATCCACGGCCAGACCGCCTACCTCGACGGAGTCTTGTCGAGCGCACCTTTGGGCAAGGACATCTCCGCGGCTGTGATCAGTCACGCTCCTATCGAGAGGAGAGGGTCAATCTCAGGCGCAAAACCGGAAGTCTCGAGTTTCGCGCCGCGGTCTTCTGCCGATGCATCCGCACAGACACAGCAGCTCGTTGCGCAGTCTACCACCCTGTCCTCGACCGCTCTGGCACCGGTTCAGGGCCCTATGTCCAACACACAGATTTTCAATCATCTTCTGCCACACCCCGCCTTCAATCGCCGCCACATTCTCACTGTCAAGCAGTTCAGTCATCGCGATGTACACGATCTGTTCACGCTCGCGCACGAGATGCAGCTACAGGTCGAGAGAAACGGTACGCTCGACGTCCTCAAGGGCAAGGTACTCGCGACGCTCTTTTATGAACCCTCTACGCGGACGTCATCGTCGTTCGATACGGCCATGAAGCGCTGCGGTGGAGAAGTCGTTAACGTCCACGTCGACTCCTCGTCCGTTCTTAAGGGCGAGACCTTACCTGACACGATCCGTACTCTGGGCTGCTACGCTGACGCCATTGTGATCCGGCACCCCGACATTGGCAGCTCGCAGCTCGCAGCGAAGTTCTCTCCTGTCCCGATCTTGAATGCTGGAGACGGTATCGGAGAGCATCCGACCCAGGTACGGAATGATGCATTGCATATCAACGGGTGTGTGGAGCTCATCATGTACTTGTAACAGGCTCTATTGGACGTCTATACCATCCGTTCTGAGCTTGGGACAGTCAACGGGCGCACAATCACCATGCTTGGAGATCTCAAGAATGGACGGACGGTCCACAGTCTCGTCACCCTCCTCTCGTTGTATTCGGTGCGATTGAACTTTGTTGCCCCTCCTTCACTCGCAATGCCTGCGAGTGTAGTGTCCGCGGCGCGCAAGGCAGGTATACCGGTTTACCAATGCGAGTCCTTGGAGGAAGTCCTCGGAGACACAGACGTTCTCTACGTCACAAGAATGCAGAAGGAGCGGTTCAAGTCCGAGTCGGAGTTCAACGCCGTCAAGGATGCCTACCGCGTGGACCATGCGCTTCTATCACGGGCGAAGGAGGAAATGATTGTCATGCACCCGTTGCCGCGCGTCAATGGTAAGCCAGGTTCTGGTTTGAGCGTAGGAGGGGGTTGTTGACAATACCGCCCAGAAATTGACCCTGATGTCGACTTCGATTCTCGCCGTGCTGTGTATTTCCGGCAAATGCGTTATGGCCTCTTCGTGAGTGTTTTCCAAATCCACCTTTGTTGACAGTGGTCTGATAGTCTGTTTGTTAGATCCGCATGGCACTCCTGGCGAGCGTGATGGGTTGAATTCAAATAGAACCAGTCGGACTTTCAGTAACCATGTAGGATAGATCTATTAGCGAACAAACAATTGTTGTAGCTATACACAATGTAAAAGTAACATTCTCTTATCGTTCTGATGAGCCAACTTTTGCTGGTGCCTTTGACTGAATGCTGTTGGGACGGAGCCGACCAACTCGACCGTGTAATGCGTATTGCGATCACTTTGCATCGTCACCTTCGTTGATCTATCGAGCGATGGCCACTCCCGTCTGTCCCCTTCACTTAGAGACTGGCGCATTCATATTAGTCAAGATAGATGGTAGATGGTATCTTGACGGAGATAACATGTGATGCACAAAGGTGTGTTTAAGACCAACCTCGTCAGGCTGCGGTCATATAGGTGTACATACAGACGAACAACACGAGTAACAATCTCTGAGGGACCAACGGGCGGAGCTGAAGCGGCAGAACGATCCAGCAGAATAAATTACGTAGCGATACATGCAAGGTGCCATGTATTGGAGACAGCGGTCCCGCAAAAGCCTCTGCTGCACCTGGCCCTCCCTTCTGAGTGTTGCGAAACCGGAACTGAAGGTGATGAATATCCAGGTGATGCGACTGAGGAGAAGGAAGTGATCAGTATAATTAGCACATGGTACAAGTACTTACTTGCTCTACTATTGCCAAACATCTCCGTAGTGAGCTCCTCGCTCGGGGTAGAAGTCATGAGTAGGAGAACAGGATTGATTGTCCGATGGGGCGTAGATGTATCACCGCCTTGAAGTCGGGGATATTGGCTAAAAGTAATGTGCTTGACAGCATCACGTTCAAGATGGTGCGGAGGAGAGGAGGGCAACGTTGCCGACGAGTGACACCAGGTCACCGTGGCAGTGGATCCGGACGGGACGCGCCTACTGCCAAGGAGCAAGCTCAAGTGTCAGGACGCCGATGTCGGTGGCCAATCCTCTTTGCTGATGTCGACGACCTTCCCATTGCCCCTCCGGTCATTCTGGGTACCTTCCATGCCTCACTGAACTGAACTTGCTGTCTCTGCCTGCTCTCCGATTCTTTAGAATAATGAGCTCACCGAGAAGGGGGGGTACGCCTGCCACTAGCCCTGCCGTTCTCTGGGTCGTCCTATCCTGACTTCATCCGCCCGCACATTCTGGGCTGAAAATCTCAACTCTCTTCCTTCTGTGTATCAATTGTGTGCGGTCGCGCTATAGCAGTATGATCAGTAATGGGACTTGTGGTGAGTCGTCTACCCATATTGAGATTTCAAATATCGGGCAAGGGAGCGCCTGATTCGCAATCTCGACCTCGCCTTCCGTGAAGGCAATCTCGACCAGCAGAGTCTCGCCGCTCACGTATCTCGGATGGTGCAGCTGAACCATGAGGAGCTCTCATCGCTCATAATGTTGGTAGTTGGTATTCTTAAACGTGTTCGTTAGAAGGGAATAGAGCTTGCGACATCAAGCCCACGAAGTTGTCCTCGGTAGGGGGACCAACAGTCGACGCCTCCGCTTGATTGACTTCAGACAGTCACGGCCGCACCTCAGCAACTCTCAGATACCAAGACTCCTGGTTGTGGGACATTGCGCAGTGTCAGCGTGCGTGTTCTCGCCGGCCATGGTGAGCGTGTGTGTTGCGAGTCATGACGCCTCAACTCCTGGTGTTAACAGTGTTTTGCAGGTTTTTTTTTTTTATCTCGTAGCACCTAAGATCTCATGTGTACGCTATCGTGCATCTCCTCGCTGGTACCCTTCCTTGGAGCTGTCAGCCTCTGGACAGAGATCGGCAAAGCGCCGGACCGGCTGAAGGAAGCTCTGCAGTTTCGAGTCCCGCAATGTTCGCCAGTTGAGTAGACTATATCCGCTCGCTCAATACCGCGACCACTCGGGATTGTCGATATCGATGACAAGCCTTCGACAAGCCAGCATGACGAGATCCTGGATATCCACATCCTGGAAAGGACGTCACCAAGGGACTTTGCATAGGGGTGCCCCTGAGCTTTTCTCTCCCACAGTCTTCAACGAATGAGACCACCGTCAACTCCTCCATCGTCCCCCCTACCTGGTGCTCCCTATCTCACTTGGGCTTTGCCTCAGCCGCCTCATCGTCTATGCGCGCCCACGACGTGGGTATCGCGAGGTACCGCAGCGCGGGGAACGTCACTGCGTCGAGCGTGACGAGGAACACTTCGTGGGAGCCCTCCGTGCCCTCCGGAATGACGCGCGGGGTGTGCGGGTACTGGGCGTCGAGGTACCGTGTGATCGTGATGGATTTCGCTATTGGCGTATCCGTGAATGAATCGAAGATCGCGGGGAGGGTGTAGCGCGGGGCGTCGTCGGGCCAGAGGGAGGCCAGCTGTACCAAAACCTGTTCAGGATACGACGGTTACCGAGCCTGGTCAGCCTCATCATAGCCACTACCTGATGGCGGCTTACGACCAGATGACGTGTTTAGCGATGAGCTCGGCACCGCATCGAAGTACGTAGAGCTCATCAACACGCCTCCGGAGTAGTACGTTGGGGAGAGGTTTTACCGTCTGTCAGTCCCGAGGCTCCGCAGGAAGCCATGAACCATTGTCTGTCTGATAGACATTGTGTAGGTTTGTCGTAATTCACCACCTCATCCAACTACGTGTGTGCTGTATTGATTTATCTGGGCCGTCCACCAGATCCCCCTCGATGCCAATGAAAGCGCGAGTAAACTCCCTCACTCCGGATCTTCACAGCTTCCGTGTTCCCAATAATGTCAACACGAGATGGTGGTGTCTGGTCGCTTCTCGAATTAACTCGTCATATTATCACTAGCCTGATGTTCCCTTGCCGTTCGCCAACATGGCGTCGTCGATGCGACCCGCCACATCCGCGCTGCATCTGTGCCTACTAAGGTTTGAGCGCGGAGTGTGCTGGATACCACAAAACCTGTGAGTAGATTGGCACTATAGAGCTGTATCTCTGAGAGTCTTACTAGGAGCACTGCGGCCGCCCATTGCATTCGGCGGTGTGGCACTATTTCGGCAGACTGTGTATCTCAGGAGCGTGACACCAAGTTTCGCATATCTCGCATTGCTAGGCTCGGCTTTCTTACACCGTGCAACCAGACTTGCAGCGACCCACTGTAATAAGGGGCCAGGAAGTTGAGCAAATCCGGCGAGAGGCCGGATTTAGGTCCATGACAATCGGGTGACGCACAGCTTCGAAGTTCACATAAGCTCATGAATGCTAACTAATGCTTCCGCGACAGAGCCTGCAGGCTAAATCAATTCCACCCAAGTTCCTGAGTTCTTCTCATACCTGCCCCGGTATCGCGGCTCGGGGCCTTTACTGTTCAAAGCTTGACCGGCTATCTTCCCTCAGGCCGTGCATAGCGGCTGCTGTCCGGCGTAACACCACCGGGCGATGCCTTCGTCCATTCGTGTGCCACAGAAGCCTGTCAAGATCGAAAATTTCAGGATCACGTGTACCACTGTGCTCATAGATATATGTATATATAGTGCAGGCGTCGTGCATCGATCTCTTCTCACCATCTCATCCTTGTAGACCACGTTTCCGGTGGGTGGACATTCCCTTACTGATGCGCATTAGCTTATGCTTGTATTTACTCAGCCAATTCATCAGAAGTTATAATCGTCTAGGCGACATTTCTTGTCAGGAAAACTACACAGTGAGATTGTATTTGCGTTCGAGCTTGTTCAGACCTAATGGAGGATAGTCATTTAACATGCGCCTGATTGAAACAAGGACAGGACGGTTTCGCTGGTTTGACGATCCTCGCACAGTCCGCTATGCTGTCCTCTCGCATGTGTGGTCGAAAGAAGACGATCCGAACCATGTTCCAGAGCAGACCTACCAGGATGTCTGTCGTATTCATCGCGAGGCCGGCGATCATCAGGAAAAACCCCATCTGCGAATTATGGATAAATTAGCGAGGTCCTCGATAATGTGCACTAATCCGCTCTTTGCTACCTCTAATGGCTGGCGCGACTGCGGATCCATCCCGAGCCCGACTTGCAGATGGTCTGTGTTGCGAGGGCGCGCTCGAATGTGATGAGCTCGAGCTCAAACATGGTAGAAGGCAGACGATGATGCGCTTACTGGTTTCTAGCGGCGATTCATGTAACAAATCCAATCAGCGTGCACCGTGCGCGCAACACCATGAGAGCTCCAAGATAAGCTTCAATTAGAATATAAGCTTGAACATATGACGGTCTACATATGGGTTTACATAAAATGATGGGCATAGATCTAAGACGGTCGAACTTGTCCATTCACGGGGAGCGATGGGACCAAAATCTGGAAAGAGGTGACAGCTCCTCTCGAGGTCGTCAACCGCAATGATACTACCTGTGCGCTCTCCTCCTCCTCCGAGATCACGGGAAACCTGGTACATGCAGTGATCAGGCTCAGGATGGGTGAAGGGGCTGAACCACTCAACATATGCGAGGTGGCCATAAGGGCGCGCTTCCTCGCTGAGCTTCGGAAACAGGAGTGGGACTGCCTTTTTGGGAATCTTGAAGACGATACGGACTTGCGCGACTTGCAACCCTTTCACTAGTGTAAGACAAGAGTTGAACTAGTTATTTGAGTAATCACAAACCATGAATGCCATGCTGTGCGTTTGCCCTGGTGTCGCGCACGAGTGCAGTGTCAAAGCGACCAGGAAGCATGTCGCCATACTTACCCTTGTGCGCCGGCCGCACATGAATGACGTCACAGATCTGCGTGCCAGGGGCTGCACAGATGTGGGGGTCAGGGACCCAGAACTTGATCTTGTGATATGTTGGAATCGCCTGAAATGGCAAGAATACACGCGCCGACTCGCGCTCTATTTGCTGAGGGGTGAATTCTGGACAGTTGCGTTGGGCAATGAATCGGGTGAGGGCGTCGCGGAAAAATTGTGCACCATAGTCGGTAGGAATTGAGGTAATCTTCACAGCGCGAACGGAAGGGTACCGCGTCATTTTGATGCGGTTTGGGCCTTGGTCAGCTGTGATGCGTGGACAGCCACTGCAGTGCTGGGTCTGGGTAGCAGTAGGCAGGGTAGGCTCAGCATGCGATGTGGGCAGAGCACTAGACTGAGCGACATGTGGCGGAGTGTCCGATATGGGTGTCTGAGCGGGAGGCGCTGACGACGATGGGATATTGGTGCCTATATCTGCGGCAGGATGTGCTGTTTGTAGAAATGTGAAAGGAAGTGTCTGCAAAGAATTGAGGAGAGATGACATACCACTTGAGCCTGTCTGTGTGAGACACCATTGGACATACCGCTCGTGACGCTGCATCTTCTCCTTACGTTCAAGCCAGATAGTCATTTGTGCGAACTCATCCTTGTGGTTGGTGGCACGGTACGCATCCTTGGTAAAGTCGATGTGAAGCCGTTCGGAGTACTGTGTGTCGTAGTTGTCTGTGGTGCCGAAAAGTTCAATGCTGCGACGATAGTGGTCAAGAGAATGGAGTTTGGGGAGGTGGAAGTGAGTGCGGATGCCTAATTCGACGAAAATCCCCTTGTTGTCATGAAAAACGACCAGTGTCTCATCTAGGAGGCGGAGAGTTTCAGTTGTGTGAGTGCTATACTGCGCATAGTAGAGAAAATTGAGTACTGCCCATGTAGCACGAACAAGGCGCAACGCAGACCGTCCGTCCGGCAGCTCCAGGCCTACAACAAGGCCTAGCAAGATGCGACCAATGTCCTGGTGCTCCTTCCCAGTGATGCGCGACATCGTTGAGATGCCTTTGCCAAAGTGTCGAAGGTTGTGATTCAGAGGCATACGGCGGCAGCGTGCATCAATCTCCTCCGTTCCGAACGCGGCGTGGAGCCAGGAAACAAGGTGCTTTAGAACTCCCTGATAGAGCTGATGCAAAACGTCAGGAGTAATTGCAAGGTAGATATCTGTGTAAGGCAAATCCGCCCAAAAGGGACGACAGATGGGTTTGATACCAGCTTCGGCACATGCACGTGTAAAGGCCCGGGGACCCTCGTCGATCGCAGATATCGCACGAAGGATTTTGTCTAGGTCGCGAAGGGGCCGGGATGTGTCTGTGGACTCGCCAACATCATTCCGGTCAATAGGACACTTGGGACACTCCCCCGTCTTGCAACCGGTGACAAGAAGCTGCTCAGGGTAGTCCCCAACATACGTTGCAAGAATGGGGTGACCACGACGGACTAGACCATCCCCACTTGCCAGCTTCATTCCTGTTACGCTAGCAGAAGCGAGAGGCGCAAGGACACGGCCCATACAAGCGTGAAACAAGTTTGCGAGGGTGCGACGACGTGCAGCCTTGTTCTTGATGTGCTGTAGACGAGAAGTTGGGAGGTACGCTAGAAGAATCTGGCCACGACGAGATGGCTTGCAGCGGATATCCTTGGGGAGGTTGCCTAGTGTCATATAGACGGGATACGCGGACTTGTTCCCAATAAGGGTAAGCTGCGTCTTGTCGGATGAAATGATGATGGGGATCACGGTGGCACCCGGTTTGTCCTTCTCCAACTGTTTCTGCAGGCCGATATAAGGCGATTAGCCAAAATGTTACAAGGTAGTTTGTCGGTTTACATACCTGGGTAGCCCACCACCATTGTCCTGTATTCATGTCGAAGTAGACCCTACTGGTCTTATTGCTGTCGGTGTAATGGCGCTCGGGAACAAGAAGGAGGAGGCCGATGAAGTCCGGGTCTCCATAGAGCGCCTCCACACACTGTAGCACATCACGGAAGAACACCTCGAACGCCTCCCCAGCAACAACAATCTCGTAGCGCTCGAATCGAGGCCGTGCGGGTGGGAGCTGCTTGTCGATGATTTGATCGAGGCCTCGGGTGTGCTTGTAAGACAAAGCAAGCCGCTGGGCAACCTGGCTTAGCACTTCAGCGAAACAAACCAGAATACAGATAAGAAAGGCACAGACCTCTTCTATGGCAAGCAGCTCAGTAAATGCGGTGGAACCAGGTCCGCGCGTCTTCGCCCACATCCCAACCTTCCAATCCCGCTCTGAGGCGAACGGAGCATAGGGGTTAGGGTTGTTTGGATCCTCGACGACCGCGCGATAGCTCTCGTGAGCTGTGTGGCATAAATCGGAGGGTCCAGTTCTGTCAGATTGCAGAATCGGGGCACCTGCGGTCGCGATCGGAAAGGGAACAACGAATGTCTTGCGGCGCGCAGCATTCTCGATGTCCCTCCGTTCCTGCAGAGATGGAGAAAAGGCACAACAACATGCAGTCATGAATCCGTCAGTAAGCTTTCAAGAGAGTTGAACAGCTGTCACTTACCCCAGAAGCGATAGGAGGTGTCGCCTGAGGCGCAGTTGAAGACAGTTGGTGTGGGGTTACGCTGTTAGGGTGTAATGTGCGAGGTTCCGGCTCCCATCCCACCCCATTCAGCTCCTCGTCAGTTTCTTCATCACTGACCAATGATCCTAGGCCATCCTCGTCCTCGTCCTCGTCCTCGTCCTCGTCCTCGTCCTCGTCCTCGTCCTCGAAATAGTGCATGTCGTAGTCTCCGAAGAAATCACCTTCAAAAGGGATTGGTTCAGCATCCATGTCGACATCCTCGATTTGAGGAATTTGAACGGGAACAGGGGAAGTGGCGTCGAAAGGTGGGCTAGGAGGTGGAGAAGACTCATAGAGGTGAGACACCCGAATTGCAGCACAGGCGGGCTTCTGGGTTTGTGCAAGATGTTTTGACAGTCCGGAAGGACTGAACCATTTGCGACATCCTGTGCATTTCTCAGTCGCTAGTGCTGTACGTGAGGAAGCCATAGATAGCAATGACAGTGTACAGGATGATGTGAAAGTAGCTAAGAATGCATGCGAAATGCGCTAAGACTTGACCCTCGATGGTTGGGACACAGCCTGGGATGCGCTTTGATGTCCATCGTCAGCCACCAGCGGACCTAAACAGGAAATTCAGACTCTGCCCATCGCCTGTTTTCAGAGTCAGCCACAAACCGCGTTGCCATCTTGGACGACGTGGAATTTTTTCTTACCATTCTTTACTGCTTCTCCCACAACTTTCTAACTCGCACACGCCACTCCTTTTGTTTTCACGTTCCTCTACCTAGCTATCGATGTCAGACCGCGCATCTCGTTCAAAGAGCAAAAAGAAGGGGGCCATGCCACAGCAGTCATCTCCCGAGACAATGCTCGGTGCCGCGTCTCCGGTAGACGGAGGCATGCCCCCTACTGCACCTCAGGGTCCAAAGCCTCGTCCTCGCCGGAAGGTTGCTGAAGCAGAGGCAAACGTCAGCATCGCAGGTGCGTGAATTCAAATGACACATGAATAAGCTAACCCACCGCTGGCTTAGCAACCGCACTCGTAGCCAGATCCACATTACGCCAGCCTGTCGAGACGTCCAAGGCAGGCAGCGCAGATGTTGAGAACCTGTCCTACACCACCAAGGGTGAGTCCGAGTTGTTACTAATACTTAGCGATACTGAAGTACCTCGTCAGCTCCCAACGTCGTTGGCAGGGCAAAGAGTAGTCGCAAGCGAGTACACTCTGACTCCGAGTCCCTCATCAGGGCCGGCGCCGACGTAAATGAGGATGTGCCCCTGACGTCCATCAAAGCTCCGCCAGCAAAGAAGACAAAGAAGCTAGCAACAGGTAAGCGAGACGGCCATGGCTCATGAAAGCATCCCCTTCTGACCTTCTTAAACCACCTCATCACTGACGCGACCAATGCGATGCAACCTGCAACTGACAGTCAGTGCCAAGCGCGACAACGCAGCGACCACAAACGCACCGGGTCGGAGGACTAGTACGCGCGGTCAAGAAGCTCATGCCTTGCAACGTAAGCCTATCACAACGCGATTCAGCTGAAATGTACTACAAGAGACTGATCGAGTACTCACAGTCACGGGCATGGCAAACATCGGCGGAACGACAATTATTACAGATCCTGTGGGCAGTATGAGTGTGGAAGATGTGGCAGACGATGATGAGGCTGAACAATCTGACCGTGATGATGAGCCCTCGGCCCTCACGCAAGAGCAGGAGCTGGGCCAAGACGACGAAGCTCAGTCCGACTCTGGAGAGGAGTCGGAGTGCGACGACGCGCACAAGCTTGCAGCCCGTCTGGTCGCTGAAGTGCGTTCAGTGTCATTTGATTGGTTGAGGTGGTGAATAACCACTCACCTCCATTGTTTCCCCTCTAGATACCTGTGTGGTATGAGATGTCGAAGTCGAAGAAACAGCCGAGCGAAACACTCACCGCTGGTGGCAACGAGTCCCACGAAAATACGCGACTCGTGCCGGCAAGGTCAAGTACACGTCGCGTGTCGCCCAAGTATTTCGTTGAAACCAGCGACTCGGGCTCTGAGTTCAATCCGGAGGCCGACGGGACTGAGCTTCCGAGCGAGGAGTATACGGTGGGGATGGGGGAGGAGGAAGTCGACGTGGCAGACCTTGTACTGCCCATTGTGGGCGCCCCTGGGAAGCCGAAGAACAAGGTTTGCGCCCGTCCACACATGTCACGGCATGCTCGCTGACGCCTTCATACCTCAACCTCACCCCCCAGCAAGCTACCGGCAAGAAGACAGCCAAGCAGCAGCTCGAGGTGAGTTTCCCATTCGTCTGCGTACATTGAGCCCTTCTTTCCCCGTCATCATCGTTGTTTCGGGTACTGGAGTGGGTGCGGCGAGCCTGAGAGTACGAGTTTTTGCGCGTCAGGCGTGAAGACGACGCTTGGCCTGGCGACCGGCTGCAGTTGTGCGAACATGGGATTGACACACGTTGGCCCAAACATCTGCTCAGTGTCTCGTTGTGCCGCGTGTAGGGTACCGACCGCCCTTTGACTGCCTATCATCGCTGTCCCTCGCCATCCAACTGTCCGTCTCGGGGCGACCACGAGTGCGACACCGAGGATGGCATCCTGTCGTCATCATGGTCACTCACGCCCATCGGTCGATAAAACCCTTTGCTCTTCCCCTTTGGAGAGATGACGTCGAGCGACCGTCCATCTCATGGCGACAGAGGATGGCGGTGCGGACGTTCATCGTGGCCTTTCTGGGCCTCTTGGTGCCAATTTGTTCACACTGCTGCTTGTCCGATATCGTCGCCTGGCGCGCTCAGCCTTTTGTCGTCCGCCCGCCGGGCGCAACGCCCACGTCGTCGTCCTCAGCCTCGCCGCCTGTTGCCACACTAGCACCGGCCGGCTCGGAGTGGTTGGAGCGCTGCACGACGTGAGGAGTGCACCGTCGCAGGTAGCAACCAGCGTCATCGTGAGCGGGGACCCTGCGGCGCGAAAACTTGTAAGGTCAAGGTGCCATCACGCACCTCAAGCTCCTCAAGATGTCTTTTCGTGCGCTTCGCGATGACTTCCGGTTCGAGCGGACTGTTCAGTTTTTGGGCCCGCCGAGCAGCTGTACAACGAGCGCAGGATGAAACCACGCGTGCGACACAGGATGGCATCCTGTGGGCTCATCACCATCATCACTCATGCCCATCGCCCATAGAACCGTTTGCTCTTCCCCTTCGGAGAGATCACGTCGAGCGGCTCGTCCTTACTAGCAGACTCTTGATACGATTTCTTCACGATGCGTCTGCTGCGAGAGGACACCCTGGACTTGATCGGTTCTTCCCCGTTGTTCTCCTGTGCGGGCCTGTCTTCAAGAACTAGTACTAACTTCTGCACATCTAGGAGCCTGTATGGAAAGATGCCCCGTCCCAAGCCGCCGTGATGGCATACAATGTCTACCTTCAGACGCTGGCCAGCCTCGGCATCCCAGCAAGTGAAGCACCACCACCCCCCTCATCTCTTCCTGTGTCCGCCAAGACCCAACGTATGTTTTTTTCATGTCAAACTACTCTTGACTCTCACCTTTGCTGTCCTCAGCCGCGCCGTCCAAAGCCAGTACCTCCCGTCGCCATCAACGTCCTGCTGTCACCAGCGAAGCGACGCCTTCCCTCGCTCAAGAGAGCCCTGTCGCGGCTCCATTGATGGACCCTCGGATGGGACTGGAGGCTGACGAGTACAAGATAGTCGCCCCCACACCTGGTGCGGCCCTAGCGCTTCAACGTCAGCACGACGACATCCGGGAGACCATCCGACACTCGCGCGGAGAAATCGAGGCGTTCATCGTGTTCATCCATGCCTTCCCCGACACCATGGGCCGCACCCGCTTCGTCTCCGACGCCCTGATCAACTCTGCTGGCGAGCTCGGATTTCCCGGTCTTCGGCAGCGCCTGCAAAAGGATCAAGAGTTCACGCACGCGCTTTCAGCCATTGTATGTAATATCATGTGGTATCTCCCTGCCAGCGACGCTGAAAAACCATTCATTCATCACAGCCGCGCCAGCGCATCAGCACCTTCCGTGGCCAAATGAAGAAGTGTGCCGAAACACACGTTGTCCCACAGTTTGGCCTGGTTCAGGGAGAGTGCGAGGCTAAGGTGGAGTTCCTTTTTGACCACATGGCATATGTATACCCTTGTATCTATGATGTGCGTGTTCCCTTCTTCATCTCCTGCGCAGACAGTTTGCACGGCGCTCCTAGAGCTTGGTGTCGTCATTTCCACAAATTCTTCAAGTCCTTGTGTGGCTCGGAGTCGCTGTGCAATAGTCCACTGATTGTTGATATTCAGACCAAGAAGCAGTCGGTTACTTGGGTGCAGCCTTACGGCGGCTCCATCGTGACCGCATTGGCCCGTCACATTGCTTGGACAGGACCCAGTGCGATCGCCATACGCAATCCTTTGCAGTTCACGTCTTCCATCCACGAAAGCCCGCAGGTCAACGAGAAGGAGATCCCGATGCCGATGCTCGCTCTAATTGGTGCTGCGGTATGCCACCCCCCATGTATTCCCCTTTTTTTGTCCTCATGCATTGCAGATCCATGCTGCTCTGACCGAGTGGAAGTCTGGGACGCACAAGCCCAGCTCCTTCTCGGCAGATGCCTATGCAGACGCCTATAACGAGCACCTCACACTCCTGCGGGGCATCAAAGACAAGAACCTGCGTGGGTACCACAAGATGACGCACCGGATCTTCCTCGCTGCCAGGTGAGGATTCATTCTGTGCTGCATCGTGCTGAACTTACTGATGTTTTCTAACAGCGGCACCGCCCCAGCCATACCTGCAGCTCCGACGAACGCGGCCACCGATGCTCTCGCTCACGTAGACTTCGACAACATGGACATCGACTAATTACTCCAGCTCAACACTAGTATACCCTCATTTCACATCTCAGTCCGCAGCCTTTCTTCCTCCCTATATCTTACACTTACTGATCATGTAATATCTCGCATCATCTAGTGAGTACATCGTCTAAGCGCTGTCGCCCCAGACTCACATAATACAATTCACATAGAAGCACCCCCTTTCTTTTGAGCCCCTCACTCCTATAGCTATCAATCCTCTACTAATACACGTCATTGATGTTGGCATATAGGTCGATATCATGATATAGTGGCAGCGCCGTCTCGCCGTTTCTGTGTCCTCCCTGTGCCTCCCCGCCTCCCCCTGCCGCTGCCTGCATGTATACCCATATCTGCGGGACCCTAGGGTTATCGTGAAGATCTGTATCCCCTTGCCATGGTAGTTGTGTCATGTCGTACCGTAGCAGTCGAGAGTACAACCAATTTATTGTTCTCCTCGCATACCACTATTGTGTGCTCAAGCTCCTCTCGCATGTCGCTATTCCTGTGCTCAATGCACCCAGATGCGCCATAATCCTTGGTATTGTTATTCACGAACGCGTATAACGAGTATATTATTACGAGGATAAGGGGATGATAGCACGTCAATATTGGTCCCTCAGCGTAGCGCGCTTACAATGATAATGTGTGTCTATTGGCTGCTCGTTAGCTGGGACTAAGCTAACGAGACTAACGCCCTAATCTGGCTCATTAGTGCTGATTATCCCTCTTTAGCAGATGCAGTTTTTCCTGATGATGGTGTCCCGGTGCTCCCTCTTCTTTCCGATAAGATCCGTTCTTTCTGTGATCTGGCACTAGCAGAAGGGTATGAGTTTGCCTGGGCAGATACCTGTTGCATTGACAAGAGTAGTTCTGCCGAATTGTCGGAAGCTCTCAACTCGATGTACAACTGGTACGGACACGCAGTCGTTTGCTACGCCTATCTTCCGGATGTATCCAATCCCAGTCGTCCTCCCTCCCAAGAGTGGGAGCTCGAGTTCCGAACAAGTAGGTGGTTCACCCGTGGGTGGACTCTACAAGAGCTCCTTGCTCCCGGAATAGTTATCTTCCTCTCCAGCACATGGGAGTGTCTAGGGTCGAAGCGCACTCTTTCATCCCTCGTCACATCCATCACTGGGATTCCACACACCGTCCTCACCATGGAACGCGCCCTCAACCAGGTCAGCATGGCAGAGCGGCTGCGATGGGCTTCGTCTCGTATCACAAGCAGGAAAGAAGATGAGGCCTACTGCCTTATGGGGATCTTCGGGGTCCATATATCAATCACATACGGAGAAGGCTCTTCTGCCTTCATGCGGCTGCAGGAGAAGATTCTCAAACACATCCCCGATCAGACGCTCCTTGTTTGGGGCTCTGTCCTACCGAGCACTTCCAACACGATGTCGTTTCGGAGGCCCTCCGATGTTGCCGAGCACATTCAGTCTTCGTTCAATGGCACATCCTCTCCTCTGTCGGTCCGGCACTCCATCCAAAAGCAGTGCTTGCATCAGGAAAAACTCCCCCTGCGAATTGGCGTTAAGCGAGCTAAATTATCCCTCACCAGCGAGATTAGTCCATTAGTCTTAAAAGATAAGTCCCCTGCTAACCAGCAGCCATTAGCTGCCTTAGTAGGCAGGGTCCGTAGCGGCGGTCATTCATTATTTGCTCGCCATTCAGGCTGTCGTTTGGTATTTTCAGATTCTAGTTGCTTGTACGATAGATTCAATATATTGAAGGGTACGACAACGACTAGCATGATTACACTGCATAGTAATCTATAAACTTGTATACTAAGTTCCAACATGATACGCTAATCCGACCTCATCCAACTACACATAGCACTACAACGTGGGCCGGATCCTCTCTTGATGAGCTTATACTACCGCAACTTACTTCTTGGAGGCGCGAAATGCAAAGTGCGGCTGGGCAAGGCCACAGACGACGACTTACCGTAGTACATTATGCACCTTCGAGTTGCTATGCAGCATGGTATCTTACAACTCACCTGGACCCCAGCTTCTGTAGTATCACTCTCATACCACCATGTCCGCTAGTACTAGATCACCCACCAGTCAAACTGGCTACTCCCGTATGTAGCGATGAAAAGAAGGAGGAAAGGTTGGGTGGGCACACTGATGTCGGAAGGAGAGATGTGGCAACGGAGCGTCGAGCGCGCAATGGGATGCGGCTGTGGTGTGAGCGCGAGTATTTAGGGCAGGCTTCAATTGACTTGGAAAGACACAGAGATGGTCTCTCTTGCCTTGTACGTGTTCTGAGCATACAGTCCTTGATTTTTGGGCCTGCAGTAAAGTATGTATGCCTATTATTACCTTCAAGGAACTTATCCAGCTCGCAAATCTCGAGATATAAGACCACCAATGGTCACGGGCGTCATTAGTTGACATTAGCACTAATTTTCTGTGAATTCGCGCGGGGAGTTTTTCCTGATGTGCTCTCCTCGTCCCCCGCAGCTTTCAAGAATCTCCCTCCAGTGCTCCCCCTTTCCGCAGCTGCCTTTGCAGCTGCCCTGAACTTCCCTGTCAGAGATTCTTCTCACCGTGTCTTCACTATCACTCCGTACGGCATCCATGCTCGATTCCCTCTCGTTCAAGTTCAGTTCAAGGACACTCGAATCGATTTTCCAGCCTATCTCGCACCGCTTGCTTGTTCCGATGAAGACGGAACACTGTATGCTCTGTTGCTACATCGCCACATGGGGACATCCACCCCAGAATACTTTGTCGGGACCAGCTTCGAGCCCCTCGGTGACTCTACTTCTACTAGGTCATATTCGACGTTTTACCCTCGCGCAGTACGCCTCAACCTCTCTCCCGATGAATTCAGTTCTCTATGCGCTTCTCTAGAAGTGACCACTGTCTACATACTACATCGACATACGCCTATGCAGACCGATCTCGATAGCGACAATTCAGGCCATGACGCACTCAAGGTCGCTCGACGCGGTTCCCCGGTGATTCTCACTGAGGGATCACAGAAGCTACTGGCTCTGCAGGGCTACAGGGTTCCTGCGGGAAGGACCATTGTTGCTGCGCTATCGAAGCGTCAATTCCAGCTTGACCAAGCGTCGGGAATACCGGGCATCGTGATCTGGAATGATGACGAGTATATCACCATTCAACTCGGATGTTGCAATTGCGAGTTTGGGGAGCGCGTTGTTGGCAGCAGTGGTGTGATCTGGTCGATGATGGCGAATTGGGCGCAGATAGCGAGTGCAGAGAGCGAATGATAGAGTTAAGGAAGAGCGAGAGAGAGAGAGGCATAGACACATAGACAAGAGGTTTAGGGCACCAAACTGGCACTCAGGGCTCTCCAGGCCCAGACAGAACAAAGCCCCACCCAGGCCTCAAACACAAACCGAAGAGGCTCGTCGCCATACGGACTAAAGAGCAGGTAGGTACATGATGAGCTGGCAGTACCGATGTGCTATTTGTATGTATTTGGTCACTCGGCGATGGCCGGACGACAAACTCCAACACGCGTTGGTCTACTGGCGGTGCTGGTCCATGCCCGGAATGCATCTATCGGTACAACTCCGGATCAGTTTACCGATGATGTCCATCCCATCGACCATCCGGTACATGTTCGTTCGTGGACCCTCTCTTGTGGTACCGCCACGAAACATGTTCACCTTGCCTTTCCGAGCGGAGGGGAGTTATCATTAACTCTCACGTTGGCCTATCGGGGAGCTGCTGCTAAGGCGAGCGAGGACGTGTATATGCTTGCAATTGAAATCCTCGGGTTTGGAGGACCCTCACGGCCTGCAATCTTAAAGCGGTCTTCCCGCTCTCCATCTCCGGCTCAAGTTGCAGGATCTGCTCCAGCTCGACTCCCGCTCCAAGACTACTCATCCAGCCAGTCGGCTTCACCGTCACTCACCTCCCTTTCGAACGCAAACATTCCAAAAATCGCTATCTCTCCACCATCAAACATTGACCTAGACGACAACAGTGATGACGATGCCCAAGATGGCCAACACCATGAAAGCCGTCCTTCATGGCCTGGTAGTCCCGACCTGGCGAAACATGGCAGTCACGTCGTCTTCAAGGCTTCCTCGCAGTTTGCATCGGAGTATGAGCGAGGGAAAGCTCCACCATCTGCAACCATTACTGCGAGGCCTCTCATGCCTTCGTCGGTCATCACGGGGGCTGGCAGGGAACTCGTGAAGACATCTGCTAATCCCGTACAACTCCGCACTGACATTGATCGGGTACTTCCTGATGTGCCTTATACTAACGATCCAGGTCCTTCTCATCGCGCTACATCCACGGCATCAGGTAAGATGCCCGAAAGTGTTGGGGGACAGCCGCAAAGGACAACAGTTTCAAGCACTACTCGGGGGTCGCAAAGAAACACTCTTGTCAACGGTGATGACAGCCGTAGAGATCGCTACGATGACTCTATTTATTGAAGGTCAATTGCAGGATCGATTACCGAACCACTTCCTATTGCCAATGCCCGCACAGTCCCACTGGGAACGAGAACAGTGGAGGGGCGACTTCAATCAACTCTACTAGCAGCACAACACGAGCTTGAGATCGCAAAGCGCGTTGGTGAGTAGAGCCATTTTTCACCAGGAATGCCCTACTCGTTGTCGAATCTCTTACTGACATGAACGGCCATAATGCCTCAAAGCAATGCGAGAAAAGTGGATGTTGAATCTCATTCTTTCTGTACAAGTTGGATCAGGTGCTGTAATCACTGGTCTGGCAGCCACATTGATTGGATTGGGGCAGGTGCGCCTGCAGTCGTCTCCCATACAATGCATCCCCTCTAACTTAAGATCATTCGGACTGGTCTAGCCCAACACCTCGTTGAGCATAGTCCTCGCAGGCCTCGGAGGTCTTTCGACTGTGACAGCTAGCTATCTTGCGAGAGTACGCGGTGTCAGGGAGACCGGTCCAGAGACTCCTTGGATCCGTGCTAGAGATCTCAAGGCGTTCATCCGTCATATCACAACTTACATCCACGAACATGGGCATGAAAGTGGGCAAGAGCACAATGACACTATTTGGTGGTATAGAGCAAGGTTTCAGGACATCATGGAAAACGTTGCACGAAAGTCCGAGCCGCCGACGATGCGAAGCGCTCCAAGTCATGTATGATACATTAGATCTATTCGTCATAGGTGTCTATCCCTACGTGAATCGGAAGCAATCGTACTCACAGGCGGGATGAAACATTCGTGGACAAGAGGTACGACCAACTTACTCAGCGAGTAGGCACTTTCTTTCGCTGACTGGTCAGTGTGAGCATTACCGTAACTCCCTGAGGATGCGCGGACGTACCTCGATGTCGCGGCGACTAGGCGCGTAGACTCGGGTCGACGTTCGGCGACGACCCCGTAGGCGAGCGGCAAGGAGCTGAAAAGGGGAAAGAGAGAGGGAGAGGGATAAACGTGACAGAAAACTCGACGAGGGCAGAGCGGAGGTCGGCACGAAGGCACGAGACCTACGAAAGCTAGTCTTCACGCAGACAGCGACAGACTAGTCCCAATGACCAAGTTATACATTAGCACTCGAAGGGAAGTACAACGCTATGGTCACTCACCTAGTCCCAATGACCAAGAGGTCGAGATGGGGACTAGGGAGCGCCTAAGGGGGTTCTTATATACTAGAGGGGCTGCTTAGCAACCAAGGACAAGGCGCGAGAGCGAGGCAGTGAAGATGACAAAGAGAGAACAAAGGGCGAGAAAGAAAAGGCAAGGGCATGGCGATCACGGGAACGTAGCATGCGGCCGTGGGAAC